TGTTCGCGTGGGTTTGCTTCTGGTTTCCTTCACAAGTCCAAACACATGCTATAGGTGAATTGGGTAGGCCAATTGGGAATTGAGTAACCCAGTAATAGGTTGCAGCTTTGAGGGCATCCACTGTATAAAACATATGCAGGATAAGTTGGCGATTCCCAGATTAATAAAGGGATTAAGCCAAAAAGAAAATTTATGACATTATTGCATATATAAATGGGTTGTTTTTGTTTTAGTCACATACATTAAATGTTTAAATATCTCTTAAATAGGTACTGCTCGTATAATTTTACCATCTGTACACAAATAAAAGTAGTGAATGTGCGTGTCCTTGGGTGGGGCTGTGTTGGTGTGGTAATGTGGGCTGGTGTGGCTACTATGCCAGGGCTGATTTTTAGTCCCAGTCCGCCCCTGGGGCCTCATGTATCAACGCTGCGTACGCACAAAAACTTTGCGTACGCCAGGTTTCACGCTCAGAATCGCTCACGTTTGGATTTACTAACAATGAACTGAACGTGGGAATGTGCGCAGGTTCACGGCAGCTTCTTGGCAGGCGTACGCACATTTGTTGTGCGTGTCTGTTTTATTTCCATTGGCGACTCCTAGAGGCAGTTGTGTTAAATTCCTCTCTACAAAGTGTCTGAGCCTTGCAATGGCAGCTGTATGAGACGGGTTCATCTAGTAGGTATGTAAGATTTCCATACCATACAGTTGACCAGCTAAACATTAAAGCGCAATTTGCAGCAGTCGCCTGTTTTCCCAATGTAATCTGAGCTATCTACCGCACGCACATTGCTATAAAGACACTATCTGAAGATGAATTTGCATGCGTGAATCAGAAACATTTCCATTCAATAAATGTGCAAATAAAATATGATGCACAAACTTATTGATGATTCCTACTAGTCTTTCTCTTGATAAATAGTAGGCAAAATATGATATGTAGCGGGGGAAAAAAAAGAAGAAAGAGTTCATCAGACGCTGGATTCGAGCCGAGTTCATACTCGAACGTGTCAAAACATGATCACATGCATCTTACGAGAGCGCCACTGAGACTGTTCAGAGTGCTGCAACATTTTACAGATATAAACCAGACTATTTTTTTTAATGCACTCAGTGCGATGTTCAGACCCAACTGTGTTAACCGCATCAGCTAAACTCTCCCACTCTATTTTTTTTTCTTTTGTTGTTAATTCCGAAAAACAAACTTGCAAATAACACCGCTTTTCTCCGATCTACCTCCGAAAGCAGCACCTCCAATTCACATTCTGTTCAAATTTTCTCTTTTTGCTTGCTTTTGCCATTGCTTTTTCGTTGGGTTTTGCCATTAGCATAGTCATTAGCATATTCATACGGGGGAGGAGGCAGGGAGGGGTTTTGTGCTCGTGCATGTTGCGCTCAGTTTCACGTTCATTCGGATGTACAAAAGAATATGCGTGAGACTCGGCGTACGCAGTGTTTCATACATCTGAATTTTTTTCTGCGTACGCACATTTACAGCTTTGTGCGTACGCAATGTTTTAGTAAGATTTCCACGCAAGTCTTCGTACATGAGGCCCCTGGTGTTGGGAGTGGGGAGGGGATCAAAACCGTCCCGTTCTTAATCGTGTTTAGTGTTGGTCAACTGTGGTGGCATCTTTTAATTAGGCCAAAATTAATATTTTTATTTTTTGCTCTTTTTATTGATACACTTTCTATGTTCTTTCTTATTATGTGCCTATTGCTGTTACCGTTTTCATGCCCATATTGTTCGTTTATTTCTCTGTAAAGCACTTTGTGCAGTCTTGTGGGAAAATGGTTGGAAAATGGCTGTATTAATATATTGAACTTGACATCTAATGTAAATATTTATGATGATTGTGATACAGTTCTAGAGGCTCATAATAATTTTGTGCTGTCGCTCTCTACTGGACGCATAATGGACAACAGGGGTGTAAAACTGCCTGGATCTACGTCTGCAGACTGCCATTGCACAGGTGCCACAGTGTGTCGTCTCAGCCAGCAGGGGGACGCATGGCATTCTCCAGCAGCTCATTCTCCACATGCAGAGTCCCACGCTCCCTACCACACACACACACACACACACACACACACACACACACACACACACACACACAGTTGAAGTCAGAATTGTTTGCCCTCCTGTTTTCTTTTTCAAATATTTCCCAAATGATGTTTATCAGATTCAGGAAATGTTCACAGTATTTCCTATAATATTTGTTCTTCTGGAGAAAGTCTTTGTTTTATTTTAGCTAGAATAAAAGCAGTTTTTAACTGTTTTAAAGCCATTTTAAGGTCAATAATATTAGCCCCCTTAAGCAATATTAGTTTTGTATTGTCTCCAGAACAAACCAGTATTATACAATGCCTAATTACTTTAACTTTACCCTAATTACCCTAGTGAAGCCTTTAAATGTCACTTTAAGCTGAATACTAGTGTCTTGAAGAATATCTAAATACTATGTGCTGTCATCGTGACAAAGATAAAATAATTAATTCATTCAATTTCCTTCGGCTTAGTCCCTTATTCATCAGGGGTCGTCACGTTGGAATGAACCACCAACTATTCCAGCATATGTTTTACACTTCCAGCTGCAACCCAGTACTTTATTAATTTAAACCTACCCACTTGTTTACTGAAACTGAATTTTAAGTAGAGGGCGGGGCTTATTTTTAAGCTCCTCCTCTCATTTTTCACTCTGAGCAACTAACAGTTGGAGGGGCGTGTCTACGCATATTTCAGCCAATCAGAGAACGACTGAAGTTTAAGAGCAGGCAGATATTGATTAAAGATTTATTCATTTATTAATTTTCCTTCAGCTTAGTCCCTTTAATTATGAGGGGTCACTGCAGCTGAATGAACCGATAACTTATCCAGCATTTGTTTTACATAGCGGATGCCCTTTCAGCTGCAATACAGTACTGGACAACACGCATACACACTCATTCACTCAACATTGGGAAAACAGGCAAACTCCACACAGAAAATCCAACTGGCCCAGCCAGGATGTAAACCAGAGACCTTTGTGTTGTGAGACAGTGCTAACCACGGAGCCATTGTGTCGCTTAATTTACATGGACTTACACAATGTGCGCTAACAAAATAGACATTGTACATTTAGTTTTCATGCTAGTTTCACCAACAAATAGTTAAACAAGGACTAATCAGTAGGCCCACACTGATATCCATAGATTTTGCCAATAGTATCTGGATGCAGCCTTAATGATGCAAGCTGAGAATGCATCACTCAGAGATGCAATGTCAGACACAATGCACTCAATGGAGTGAGTGACTTCACTGTGATGGGTAGGGTTAGGGGTGGGGTCAGGTGAGCCCATTAAAAAGCATTGGATGCAGCTCAGATTGCACTACACCAGGTCTGCAGACAGACCCCTCTCCATTTTTTTATCCCATCATTCAGTAAATCATTTTGTAAATGTGTGTACATTTATATTTATTCAATCATTATATGTATTCACATTAATTTCACTAATATTACTATGATATAATAATAGTAATATTAAAGTGTTCATCTGATTTATGTACAATATAGTTTGTGCAGTAATATTTTCGGTCTTTTAGTGGATATATTAAATAAGAGACTTCCTTTGTTCACCAAATAAGTGGATCTAATTGGATTTGCATTGTAAACATTAGCTAAATGTTTATTTATTTAATTAATATTATTTTTTTAATTTTGATTCATATATTAGGTTTTTAGTAATGATGTTCCTAAAATCATTCAGCATAAATCCGCAGATTTTCAAACAATATATTCTCAGCAGAAACAGCAAAAAATGTCTGCAGATTCTGTCTGGCCATACTAATCAGATACGAATTAAAGTAGTGACTGCAGGCTGAAGGACAGTAGTGGAGTAAAAGTACAGATACTGCACTAAACATGTACTCAGGGGAAAGTAAAGTACACATTAATAAAACTATACTTGGTAAATTACAATTAGTGAGAAAAACTACTGAATTACAGTCATTTGAGTATTTGTATTTAGTTACTTTACACAACTGCTTAATGGTCATCTAAGTATTTAGTAATTTTTATCTTTAATCAGGAAATGACTTGAGAACATTTTGGGGTTGCCAGATATTCTTTTACATTCATGAATAATCAAACCACAGAGTAGTGCTCATTTAAAACACATTAGATAAATCAATGTAAAGTAAATAATCTGAAGTTCAGGTCATGATCTGATGCTTTTGTAAAGTTTTCAGAGTAACGCCATGCAGCATTTTCCTTTATTTATTAGTTTCATTGCAAAGTAAGTACAATTACTTACACATTCATTAAAAAAATACATTATATCAAAAGCATAACAGCAAAAATGTCTGCTTTTATGTGCAGTAGTTTCAATTGCGTATGAAAGTTTGATTTATGAAGGATTTAAGCTACTTTATGCATGTTTATTAAGTTTATGTGTATAGTAGTTTCACCAGCTAGCCTAGTTTTCATATTAAAGTCAGCACAGTTCACCTTAGGTTATTTAAATATAATTTAATAAGTTACAGTCTTTAGTAAAACAAAAATATGACTAACTTTTTGAAGACTTCTATAAGCGCTTTATACAACTGACCCCAGATGACTTGTATTTTGTAAATTTACTTTCGGCTCAAACAGGAACTGCGTTGAGAAAATGATAGGGTTGCCAGATATTCCTTTAGGTTCAAAAGCCTTCAATCCATATTAGAACAGTATACATCTAAAATCAATACACGTAAATATTACAATAATATTTGTGAAGAAAATCATTTGGAGCGATTATTTTGGTTTAATTAATGTTTTCAGGAAAAAAATGTCAAATCAGTGTTTTTACATCGCGTTCCGTTGAAAAAAGTGCAATTACAGGCATGTCAATTAAATAAATTACATGATATTACTAATATAACATTATACAAATCTGATTTAAGACATCAAGGTTGGATTTTTAAAAATTCATTAATTAATGTATTCATTTCTTTTTGTCTAAACACGTCGATCGCCGGACTGTATATGAACGGATCTGGCAACCCACGCTGTCAGCGTTCAGTCAAGGAAGCTCGTTATTTCTGTGGCTTCAAAATCTCACCAATGCTGCATAACAGCTAGTTAATTTTTCCCCAGCCTCATTAACAGCGATTAATTAAGGTGTTTAGATTAATTCGAGAGATTGTATCTGAGTTTTACGGGCCAATTTGGAGCTCTGGATCTGCGTAGATAAAGGCCAGACTCCCAGGTAAGACGCTTTAAACACACATACACACTACACAGACACGTACACACTGCTGACATTAGCTGTTGATTTATAAATAAACATAATTTAACGTGTTTAAATGTGCTTTCTGGGTGTTTAGAGCTGTCAGAATGGTTTGAATGCGCAGTTTTGATGCTTTCGCTAATCGGCTAATGCTAGTCCAGTCTGTTGTTTATGTTTTGGTGAAGCGTCACATCAGCTGACAGACACATTATTTCAATATATTTAGTTTATTTCACATCCACGCACTTATTTACAGTCAATACATCTATGCTGGCTTGTGTTAAATGTGTTAGATATGCTTGATAAACTATACTGGAAAACTGTATGACACTGTTCAGATGATGCGGAATGTATTAATAATATGTGCAGATTTTAAATGAATTATTTATGAACATATTTAATTTGATTATGGCAGATTTGAAATAATAAAAGCTGCGATGTTATCGTATGCTGAGTACTGGTGAGAAACTTTTGATTAAAATCTATTTGCTAGTTTGAAATATATCTAATATTATTAGCATTTTAAATAAATATGAATGCTTTAAATCATCAATGTTGCATAAATCGATCAAAAGTTGTGACCATGGCATTTATAATCCGACAATTATTCGATCAGAAATGCTTTTCTGAAATTATTACTTGTGATTGCTAAAAAAATTAAATGCATCAGTTTGCACCGAAATATAAAGCAGAATGATTGTTTTCAGTAAAAATAATACTCACAAATATTTATTGATTGTCAAATAAATCCTAATATTACACTGATTTCTGAAGGATCATGTGACTGAAGACGACAATTCAACTTTAAATCACAAAAATAAATGACATTTACTGTATATTCATATAGACTACAGCTGTTTTAACTTGTAATATTATTTCACAAAGTTTACTACACTGTTATTGATCGAATAAATGCATTCTTGATGAACAGAAGGGATTACTTGCAAAAAATAGTCATTTATTGATTTATTTTGTTAGTTTATTTTTAATCTAGTGTCCTGGAAAACAGCTGCATTATTTACTGCATTATTTTCAAATAATATAATGCATTTTCAAAATAATATTTTCAAATAATATAACAAATACATTATTGATTGATATGAGCAAGAGATTATTTGCAAAAAATTGCAATATATTTATACTTTGAGTTTATTTTTAATCTAGTGTCATAGAAAGCAGCTATTTTAAATGTTAATAATATTTACTGCATTATATCAGTCAATCAATTAAATGGATTATTGCTGAACAGGAGAAGTTACTTGCAAAAAAGTTAAATTTATTGATTTAATTATTAAGTTTATTTTTTATCTAGTGTCATAGAAAACAGCTACTTTAAATTGTAATAATGTTTCACTAATCTTACTGTGTTATTTTGACCCAATAAATGCATTCTTGATGAACAGAAGAGATTACTTGCAAAGAATAGTCATTTAATTATTTTTAAAGTTTATTTTTAATCTAGTGTCATAGAAAACAACTATTTTAATACTATTTTGACATTTTACTGCATTAAAATAGTAATTTATTGATTTATAAATAGTAAAATTATAAAGTAGTAATTTATTTATTAGGTTATTTGAAAGCTAGTTTCTTATAAATCAGGTACTTTTTATTGCAAAAATATTTTACTGCATTTAATTTGATCAATTATTTTTAAAATAAGGTCATAAAAAACAGCTATTATAGATCATAATAATATTTTACTGCATTATTTTTAATCAAATAAATGCATTCTTGATGAACAGACAAAATGTATTTATTTTTTTAAAGCTTATTATTAATTTAGTGTCATAAAAAACAGCTCAAGTTTTAAGTTGTAATAATATTTACAGCATTATATGTGATCAATTAAATGCATTCTTGATGAACAGAAGAGATTACTTGCAAAAAATAGTCATTTATTTATTTATTTATTTTTAAAGCTTATTATTAATTTAGTGTCATAGAAAACAGCTATTTCAAGTTGTAATAATACTTACTGCATTATATGTGATCAATTAAATGCATTCTTGATGAACAGAAGAGATTAGAAGCAATGTTGTTTGGACGTGAGTACGCGGATCACATGTTGCTCTGCTTGTGTTTTTGCCTGTAGGATCTCGGCCTCTGCGAGAGGCTTTTTTATTTTTGCGCAGATGTTTGCAGATGTTTGGCACTTAAATGCAGAGCGCTGATTGGACGCTCCATGACGTGCTGTGAGACCATGACACTGAGGAACATCACTGGGGATCTCCTGCACCGGCAGATCAGGGTGAGCAAACACAGAATTCAGGAAAAACATTTAGAAAAGTCATCGTGAAATAGAAATGGCATTAGTATATGTATAATCTGAGATTTGCGATATCATCTCTAACGTGCTGTATTTCCCTTATTGGGTCAACACTAAATGTGGGCGGGGCTTGATTTTCTATCTTGGATGGTTGTGGCTTGCTATTGGTGGATCTCATTTTGATGGACAGGTTGCCCTCCAGCTAGTAAACCCCAATCAGAGAAAAAATAAACACTGCATTATTACTTAAAGATGAGCTATTATGCAAAAAACACTTTTATAAGGGGTTTAAACCCATTTGAGTGACATCAGTGTGTGAATATCTCCAGCCTCTAATGGGCAACATGAATTAATTCGGTTGTATATGATCAGGCTTGATAAAAACAGTCAGCAGAAACACTTTGATTGACATTCTCCCTTTGCACGTGTCATCAGAGGGGGAAAGCTCCGCCCACTAGTGACCATCTCATTAGCATAAACAGCAGCCCTAAGTGAGAAGCAGCCATTAGCCATTAGAGTGTTTGAGCTGCTGAAGATGATGTCAGCATAGACTAAGAGGATTATAGATGTGGAGTTTTAAATGAACAGCAACAGGAGCGACATGGACTGCCTTTAAAAAGTGCATGAAATCTAAATGTACAGTGTTTATTTTGCAAGCGCACATCATTTGTCTTAAAGTGAACAATACATCTGTGCAAGGTAACTGATTGGAAAAAAAACTTTGCTCATCTGCTTTGCAATACCAGTCCTTTTCTGATTGGCTTAGCCATGCCTCTTCAATCGATAGTTTGCTGTGAGTGAAAGATTAGAGGCGGAGCTCAAACCCTGCCCCCTACTCAATATTTAGTTTCATTTGGAAATACGTCATCATACTGTATTAAAATCTGCAGCAACTTGTAGTTCACATGGACTTCAACATTATTGATCTTTTTTTTGGGTACATGTTTTCTAGTAATTCCTCTAAATAGTACTAATAATTTGTGTGTGTGTGCAGGAGAACAGAGCGCTGGACTTCCAGAGGCACTATCATGTCACTGACCCGTTCATCAAGCGTTTGGGGCTGGAGGCCGAACTACAGGTGATTTATGAATTATTGCTTTATACTTCACAGTCGTCAGGTTATATCATACACACACACAGTTTTTTAGCAATGCTTATTCATAACCGGAGATTACGTTTTAATATATTTATGTTAGGAAATTTAGAAAATATCTTTATAAAACATGATCTTTACTTAATACTGTAATCATTTTGATATAAAAGAAAAATCAGTAATTATGACTCTATTCCTACACACAGCTCAAAGGCCGTTCTCACATTAAGCATGGTAATTATAATGATAGAGATGGAGTTTTAATAATCATTCTAAATGTAAAACAGCAGCAGAGTTCAGACCGCTGCTGTAATTAAGAATAATAAATAATTAAGCAATGAAACACTGCGGACCCCTGCTGGATAAAAGCTGTCAATACAAAAAGAAAAGCATCATTCATTAATTTTCTCTTCGGCTTAGTTCCTTTATTAATCTGGGGTTGCCACGGTGGAATGAACCGCCAACTTATTAAGCACTTTTTTTTTTGTGGAAGGGCAGCGGATGTCCTTCCAGCCGCAACCTATCACTGGGAAACATCCATACACACTCATTCTCATTCTCACACACACACACACACACACACTACGGCCAGTTTAGCTTACCCAGTTCACCTGTACCACATCACGGCTCAACAGTAAGGACTGCCCGGTGGCCCGGGGCCAGCGTGAAAGACACTCGGGACAGTAGACAGGATTGTTACTGGCCCCTATCGGCCAGTAACGATGAGCACTTTTTTTTTTGTAACCTGGTAACAACCAGCACAGCGAAAAGATGGCAACATGGTAACATAATTAAATAATGAGGCTAAAAGAAAACGTCTGTTTCTAAAGTCTTAGAAGCAGACAATTAGATGGGAACAAAATTAAGAAACTGAAAAAAAGAAAAAAAAAAAACTGTTGTCAGTTTGGAAAGCCATTTTTATAAAAACTATTTAGAATTGCATTAAAATACTAGCACATTTTTCATACTGCTCTTTCATTTGCATAAAATTACGAATTTTGCTCATTATACATTTATTAACATATTTAAAATGTTTAAGTTCTAGATTCACAGGCATAATTTTGCCACTATTTAAAATATGTGGCTAAGAAATAGCTATTAACTTTTTAGTTTTTTTGGTGGGGCCAGTGAAAATTTTGGCAGGGCAAGTAAAAATCTCAACCAATGGCCCGATCGGACCCATATAAAAAATCCTTAGCGTTGAACCCTGCACATGTCTTTGGACTTGTGGGGGAAACCAGAGCACCCGGAGGAAACCCACGCCAATACGGGGAAAACATGCAAACTCCACACAGCAACTGACCCAGCTGAGGCTTAAACCAGCGACCTTTTTGCTGTGAGACGAATCAGTGTGCAACTGCGTCGCCAAAAAAAGCATCAACTAATAAAATAAACAGATTGTTATCCTGTGGTGGTTGGGCAGAAATATGTCTATCATTATATTAATATTTATAGTTATCATCCTAAGTGTGAATAACTATTGGATTTGTGCTTCCTGCTCTAATATTAACGTATTGTTTGTTAATTGTGTATTTTTCAGGGTCACTCAGGCTGTGTCAACTGTCTGGAGTGGAATGAGAAAGGAGAGTAAGTTGTGTTCAGTCTAGAGCTGTGCAATACGATAAACACTCACCGGCCACTTTATTAGGTACACCTGTCCTACTGCTCGTTAATGCATATTTGTAATCAGCTAATCACATGGCAGCAGCTCAATGCATTTACACATGGTCAATAGGATCTGCTGCAGTTCAAAGCGAGCATCAGAATGGGAAAGAAAGGGGATTTAAGAGACTTTGAACGTGGCATGGTTGTTGCTGCCAGACGCACTGCTCTGAGTATTTCAGAAACTGCTGATCTACTGGGATTTTCATGCACAACCATCTCTAGGGTTTACAGAGAATGCTCCGACAAAGAGGAAATATCCAGTGAGCGGCAGTTCTGTGGGCGCAAATGCCTTGTTGATTAGGCCAGAGGTCAGAGGAGAATGGCCAGACTGGTTCCAGCTGATAGAAAGGCAACAGTAACTCAAATAAGCAGAAGAGCATCTCTGAACACACAACACGTCCAACATTGAGGCGGATGGGCTACAGCAGCAGAAGAGCACACCGGGTGCCGCTCCTGTCAGCTAAGAACAGGAAACTGAGGCTACAATTCACACAGACTCACCAAAACTGGACAATAGAAGATTGGAGAAACGTTGCTGCTCTGATGAGTCTCCATTTCTGCTGACACATTCAGATGCTCGGCTCACAATTTGGCCTCAACAACATGAAAGCATGGATCATCCTGCCTTGTATCAGCGGTTCAGGCTGGTGGTGGTGGTGTAATGGTGTGGGGGAGATTTTCTTTGGGTCCATTAGTACCAATTGAGCATCAACGCCACAGCCTACCTGAGTATTGCTGCTGACCATGTCCATCCCTTTATGAGCACAGTGTCTCCATCTTCTGATGGCTACTTCCAGCAGGATAACGCAGCATGTCATAAAGCTCAATCATCTCAGACTGCTGAACATGACGATGAGTTCACTGTACTCAAATGGCCTCCACAGTCACCAGAGCTCAATCCAATAGAGCAGCTTTGGGATGTGGTGGAACGGGAGATTGGCATCATGGATGTGCAGCCGACAAATCTGCAGCGACTGTGTGATGCTATCATGACAATATGGAGCAAAACCTCTGAGGAATATTTTCAGTAGCTTGCTGAATCTACGCCATGAAAGATTAAGCCAGTTCTGAAGGCAGAAAGGGTCCAACACAGTACTAGTAAGGTGTACCTAATAAAGTGGCCGGTGAGGGTATATCGTATAGACAAAATTAAAAGTCAGTCGTTTCCCATTATGCCCTTTGGTTTATATTGTGGTGTCACAAAATAAATTGTTTATGGTGATGCTTTTTCATCATTTGTATATGTGCAACATTACACTTTACTACGGGGACGCAGACATTTTTAGAAACGTGTTTTCGATTTTATTATATTTATGTTATATTTTATGACTTTAAAGCCAGACGTGTTTATTCATAAACACACTAAACTCGTGTTTTTTTCCAGTCTGTTGGCGTCGGGTTCAGACGATCAGCACGCCATCATCTGGGATCCTTTCAGACACAGTAAACTGATCACTATGCACACGGGACACGCCGCTAACATCTTCTCCGTCAAGGTGAACATTCACGTCTGCTTTAAAGTGTGCCATGCAGAACGTGCTCTGTGTAACTGTCTCTGTGTGCATGTGCTTTTGTGCTTGTGTGTTTTTGTGCATGTGTTTGTGTGTGTCCATATGTGTTTTAGTTTTTTTGTGTGGGCATGTTTGTTTATTTGTGTGTGCATGTGTGTGCGTTCATGTTTGTGTTCATGTGTTTGTGTGCATGTGTGTTTGCAGGTGTTTTTGCGTGTACATGTTTTTGCTTATGCATGTGTTTGTGTGCATTTGTTTGTGTGTGCATGTGCTTGCATGTGTTTGGTTTGTGGGTCTTTTTGTGTGTGCGCATGTCTGTGCACGTGTGTGTTTATTTGTTTGCTTGTGGGTGTTAATGTGTGTGTCTGTGTGTTTCAGTTCCTCCCGCACTCTGACGACCGGATCTTGATCACAGGAGCTGCAGACACTAAAGTGCACGTTCACGACGTGACGGCGAAGGAGACGATCCACATGTTCTCTGATCACACCAACAGAGTGAAGCGCATCGCTACTGCCCCCATGTGGCCAAATACCTTCTGGAGCGCCGCCGAGGACGGACTCATCAGGTACCAGGAGATGAGAAATACAACTGCAACATTCTGGGAGAATATGTGATGATGTAACATCATTTCTTGTAAAATAACATTTCCCTCAAGAACATCTGTTTTTCTTAGCTACTTTAAAGGTGCAATATTTAAGTTTCTCACCCAGTGGTTGAACTGGGTATTGCACACCTGGATCAAAACGCATGCAAGAGCAGGTTGCCAGATTGACTTAATATAAATATACACACAATTATTATGTAAACTTATTTATATTGTATGCCATTAGTCGTAATTAATCCTTTAACAGCATCATGTTGCGTAGAAATCAACATTACCTGTTCGAGTAAAATATATATGAATTGTTTATTTTCTACATGTACATACACAAACACACATGCACACATGAAAAAAAATGTGCACTCACACTCTTGCACATACACACACATGAACAAATGTACATGGACACATACTTGCACTCACACAAACACACGCACACACTTGCGCGCTCACACACACACACACACACACACACACGAGCGCTCAGCAGAAGCTCTGTCATTTGTTCTTCTTAAGGTTAATGAGGCTCTCGGGAAGGGGCTGAGGTGTCCTTCAACTGTGTGTGTGTGTGCGTGTGTGTGCGTGTGTGTGCGTGCGTGCGTGTGTGCGTGTGTGTGTGTGTGTGTGTGCGCTGCTCCAGATGTTGTGTTGGCTGCATGTCCGTTTGGCCCATCGAGAGTGGTACACACACACACACACACACAGGCTCTGAATGACGTTTGGACATGAAAGAACACACACTCCTCCGCTCTTTACTGCTCTACATCTAGAGGACACACCAGCTGGAGGAATATCTGCTTTTAAACGAGCTTCTCATTCATTTTCTTGTCGGCTTAGTCCCTTTATTAATCCAGGGTCGCCACAGCGGAATGAACCGCCAACTTATCCAGCACGTTTTTTCGCAGCGGATGCCCTTCCAGCCGTCTCTGGGAAACATCCACACACACAAATACACACACAACAGGCAAGCAGCGAACCAGCGACCTTCTGGCTGTGAGGTGACAGCACTACCTACTGCGCCACTGCGTCGCCCTAAACAAGCTTCTATTTATTATATTTATAATTTGCAGCTTGGTGTGGAGTGTTACAAACTACAGTAAATAAAGTGCTTACAAAGTGAAACTCCATCCCAACTCAAATTACAAACTTTAATAATATGAACTCTAAAGTTTGAGTTCAGGAAGTGGTTAATCGTAATCCCTTTGCTTTATCAGTGGATGAGAAGTTTCATTGCAGTAAATACAGTAACAATAACACTGGATGTAATTAGAAATTACCTTTAAGTAGCTTACTCAGCGCTGTTTTTGTAACTCAAGCATAGCGTGTGTGTGTGTGTGTGTGTGTGAGAGACATATCATGAGACGTTTCATAGGTTTCCATTGAGTCTCTCCTGCACAGCCGGTGTGTTCTCTCCTCTAAACACTCTGTGCAGTTTCACTTTCTGAAAAAACTGATTGTGTGTGATTTATAAGCTTTGGAGAAATGAGGACATCAGCAGAGTGTTCATAATTCACCACCTTCTGCTGTAATACAGCAATGGCAATACTGGAAACACCAAGATGGTTACCTGAACTGGGGTTTTATTTCATTTTCTCGAAGCAAAGAGTCCCTGACCCAGCCACAGTGCGTTATCTGCGCCACAGTTCCTGTTAACAAATGCATGAAGCCATCCAAATGAATAAGATATTTGCAGACGACTTTTATATTTTACATTAGGCTATTATTTGTGCATAAGAATATCTAGATATTGTAATAAACATATTGTATGTTTGAAAACAATCTTTATTTTGACATACCTACTGCAAATTTATATGAGCGATGATATCATTAAATGTGGAGGGGGGCCTTGCAATATTTTCTCAGGGAAAATGGGGTCACAGGCAAAAAAAGGTTGGGATCCACTGATATAGAGGCTTTGTCGGGTTCTGGTTCCCTACAGAGAGGCTGTTGGCATTCTTCCGTTGGTTTGCGTCGCTCGCTTTGTGGTATCTGGTTTCACTCAGGGTGCTTTCACACCTGTGAATGGATTCAGTTGTTCTGAAACAGAGATTACAATTGTTTCATTGTTGCTCTTTGCTCTTGGAGCGGTTCGCTTTCACACTGCAAAGTTTCTAATCAGACCAAAAGAGCTAAAACAAGTCACGTGTGAGTAAACTCTCCTCACATTGGTCAGAGTGTCAGGGTTTATTTTGCAGCGTCCCGCTCAGCTGTCAGGAGAGGTGGTGGTTTGGTGGTGTTTGACAGGGTGCGCGCGTGCCTGAGTAGAGACGCGGTGGGGAGGGGTGATAAGGGTGCGCGACGATGCCTATTTGAGGACCGGGAGTGAGACGCGAGATTACCGGGAGATCATCACTCGTTTGCAAGCATCCGGAGACTCGCGAAACTTCCCGCCATACTCATAATTCTCTCTTCATATAGCCGTAAGCCTATTACATATCCATAAAACACTGTGATATAACCGCGCTCGGATCGGATCGCTTTCTCACTGCAATCAAACCGCTCCAGGGTTCGTTTCAGTCGAGCCGAGACCACCTCATTCAAGCGATCTCGGAGCGATTACTTTGGCATGGAACAGAGCGCGATTGCCCTGTTCACATATGCCAAACGAACCGCGCTAACTGGGCAAACGAGACACGTTCCCAAACAAAAGTGTAGGTGTGAAAGCAGCCTTAGTGTCTCTAGAGGGAGAGACATTCAGATCTCTTCCTGCAGGCTGCAAATCTTTCCTCCTCACGCCTCCTGTTCCATGCATCCACTGTTCCCCCCTCTCAAACCAACAACCAGTCTGGTATTTCATTTACAACTGAAATGAAGTTGACCAAACAAAAAGTTTAATATTGTGTGTTCATATTGTCTCTAATGAAGTACAAGTCAAAGTACATGTAGAAATCCCGACTTTCTGTTTTATTTGTCTTTTCCATACTATCCACACTTTTTTCTGATTTGTGGTTGTGTTTTTTCGGTGTGTGTGTGTTTTAAACGTGTGTGTGTGTGTCTCTGCAGGCAGTATGATCTGAGAGAGAGCAGCAAGCGCTCTGATGTTCTGATCGATCTGACAGAGTATTGTGGTCAGCTCGTCGAGGCCAAATGTCTGGCCGTGAACCCTCGAGACAACAATTACCTTGCGGTTGGAGCCAACGGGCCCTTCGTGCGGCTCTACGACATCAGGATGATCCACAATCACAGGTCAGCGTTATCAGAAGCGTTATCAGCGTTATATTAAAATCCATCTAAAATCAAAAATGATTTAAGGGTGTTTTGTAAATGCGCAGTCAGATTAATTGTTGGAGACAAACCCTTTTTATTTAACAGTATGAGGGATTTATATTGCATCACCACAGAAATATTGAGCTCATGTCCATGTAGAGCTACTGTATGTGGAGCGGCTCCTGCTCTGTTCATGTCAGTTTGATGCTTCAGACACTTTATTTTTTAGCCACGCCCCCTTTACTGTTAGTTCGTTTTAAGGAAATGATGTGCAGAAGAAAGCCCCGCCCCCTACTCAATACTCAGTTTCAGTTGGAAGAACATCAACATACTGTAATTAAAAGTCTCAGCAGCTTCCAGTTCAGGTGGACTTTAAAGGAGTTAAAGAAAATGCTGATTAAATATTGTTCAAGTCTTCATCAAGTGGAAGTTGTTGCAGACTTTTACTGAAGTGTAATAACATATTTCCAATTGAAACTAATTATTAGTGTAGGGGGCGGGGTTTTATTTTGGAGCCCCGCCTCTCGTCTTTTGCTTGCAGCAAACTAACGGTCATAGGGGAGTGGCTAAGCATATTTCAGCCAATCAGAATCATCAGAAAAGGAGAAGCAGATGAGCAGATTTTGGTTAAAAATTAGCAGAACGTTCTGTTGTATCAGTGGATTCACTTGTTGTTTTTATTATTATTATTATTGATTAATTGTCTTCCAGGAAGTCTCTGAGTCAGAGTTCGTCAGCAGGCGTTCACACGTTTTGCGATAAGCGAAAGTCAATACCGGATGGCGCTGGACAGTATTATGTTGCAGGTTTGTTGTTAGCGTTGTTTCGATGCTCATGAATGGAGTTTTAAGATTTTACTGAAGTGTGTCTCTGTTTGCAGGTCATTTACCTGTGAAGCTTCCGGACTATAATAACAGGTTGCGAGTTCTAGTGGCGACTTACGTTACGTTCAGTCCTGACGGCACCGAGCTGCTGGTCAACATGGGTGGAGAACAAGTAAAGAAACCGGTCCTGCTGTCTTTCTGCTGATGTTTTTAAGCAGAACTGAAGATGTTTTATTCGCTGCTTTGTGTTTGCAGGTGTATTTATTCGACCTGACGTTTAAGCAGAGGCCGTACACTTTTCTGCTGCCCAAAAAGTGCCATTCGTCAACAGGTAAGCTGTGAATGCAGTCATATTTATATTTATTTATTTAAATATATATATATATATATTTATATATATTGCAATTAAATTTTTTTTAGTATTTAATAAAATCTTATGTGATATTTATTAATATAATTTTATTATTTTATTATTTAATCCATATTGATATAATATTTCTGTAATAATTTTTAAATGTGTATTTTGTGATAGTTTATTATCATTCATTCATTAATTTTCTTTTCGACATAGTTCCTTTATTAATCTGGGGTTGCCACAGCGGAACGAACCGCCAAATTATTCAGAATATGTTTTACACAGCGGATGCCCTTCCAGCTGCAACCCATCACTGAGAAACACCCATACACTCTCATTCACACATACACTACAGACAGTAGCCGACCCAATTCACCAATAGCGCAGGTGTTTGGACTGTGGGGGAAACCGGAGCACCCGGAGGTATCCCATGCGAATACACAGATACGCAAACTGGCCCAGCCGGGGCTCGAATCAGCGACCTTTTTGCTGTCATCTGACATTGCTGCCCACTGTGCCACCGCTCCACCTTTATTTAATATTTAATATTATTATTATTAATTATTTAGCCAGTCTTATTTGGAAAAAGACATGAATGTGTGAAGTGTCGAATTGGTGTAAATTGACTAGAGATGTTGCATATAATTCATTGTACAACACATTCACAAAATATCATTATAAATGTATTATCAATATGAATGATATCACCAGCCTTCATAACTGCAGCACCCCTGATGTTGTGTTGGTTTTATTCATGATCTGCAGACGTACAGAACGGGAAAACCACTAATGGTGTGTCCAATGGGATTCATCTGCCAGCCAGCCGCCTTAAACTGGCCAAAGTCTCCAGGTAATGTTGATTTATGAGCATCACTGTTTCCATCATGTTTATATGTGGACCACTAAACCAGGGTTTTTCTAGATGTTGACATTTAAACATCAGCTGAAAGTAAAATTAATATAATATAATTGTTGCTGGGACAAAAATGATCATGATTAATCACATACAAATTAAAACTTTGTTTTGACATAATATATGTGTGCGTGTACTGTGTATATTTATGTATACAGTTGAAGTCAGATTTATTCGCCACCCTTTTTTTTCTTTTTTAAATATTTCCCAAATAATGTTTAACAGAGCAAGGAAATGTTCACAGTATGTCTGTCAATATTTGTTCCTCTGGAGAAAGTCTCATTTGTTTTATTTCAGCTAGAATAAAAGCAGCTTTAAATTTTTTGACCCCCCCCCCCCCCCCCCATTAGTCTACATAACAAACCATCGTTATACAATAACTTGCCTAATTACCCTAACCTGCCTAGTTACCCTAATTACCCTAGTTAAGCCTTTAAGCCTAGTTAAGCCTTGTCACTTTAAGCTGAATACTAGTGTCTTGAAGAATATCTATTCTAATATTATTTACTTTCATCGTGGCAAAGAGAAAATAAATCCGTTATTATTAATCTGTTATTAAAACTATATATAATATAATATAATATAATATAATATAATATAATATAATATAATATAATATAATATAATATAATATAATATAATATAGTTGATATAATATAACATAATATAAATAAAATATTATATAATAAAATTTAAATATAATAAAATGTAATAAATTATATAAGAAAATATAATAATAATAAATAAAATAAAATGTAATAAAATATAATATAATTAAAATATTATATATTATAATTAAAAGATAATAATTTATAATATAATATAAATAAAATATAATATAATTAAAATAAAATATTGTAAATTTAGATATATTTACAGTAGGATCCTTAACAAATTTTTCCTTTTTACTTGCTATTCTAATAGTCTTTTTGGCTTAAAAGAAAAATGGATCGTTTTGTTTGCTCATGTGCATCCCTAATTCCATCATGATATTTAGACATTACATAAAAACTGAATAAATAAGCGTTACATTTATGTATGATATGTTAATATACGACTCTTAATTTGAAAATCTGGAATCTGAGGGGTTCAAAATGTAAATATAAAGTTAATAAAATAATCTTCTTATTAATTTGATATAATTAATCTCACCGGCAGAATATTTTGCTTGCTTTAAGGAAAAAATTATTAACTTAAAAAAAATAAAACCATTTTGCCTTTCCAGAAAATGCTTACTGTTAAAATTTGTAAATATTTGGACTAGAGATGACAAACCTAAGAAAGAAATGCATTTTTTCATTGTGGCTACGCATGTTTGTATGTATATATGATATATTTACAAAATAATTAATTCATATAATTGTGTGTGCATTCAGCAGTGGCTCTGGTGATCTCCCTCTTCATCTGGAGAGGATAAAGCAGCGAGCGAACGATGCGTTTGCACGTCAGCAGTGGACTCAAGCCATTCAGCTCTACAGTCTGGGCATCCATGAGGCCGGACCCAACGCCATGCTGTACGGAAACCGTGCTGCTGCATACATGAAGCGCAAGTGGTGAGACCAGACATTTTTTGATGATCCGCTTACATCAGCTTGTAAAGGGACTTGTGTCTGATGTCTGCATTTACACTGTACATGCAAGCAAGTTTGGGCGCTGTCTTCCACTAATGTGCACTTTCACTTTAGACTCAGACTTAACTGGCTGTCTGTGTTACATGTATTCAGCCTATGTTGCAGCGCAATAACATGTATATAAACAAAATCAGCAATAGCAATCGTTTTTATAACCATCCCATCCCTTAAAAATACACAGTTCCCTGTGCATGATTACTTTAAACACACTTGAAATACTCAGTGACAGGCACATCAAATGATCAACTTTGCTTTAATTTAGCTGTAATGTGTTTTCAAGTAAACATTAATGTGTGTGTGTGTGTGTGTCTGGCAGGGATGGAGATCACTACGATGCGCTGCGGGACTGTCTGAAGGCCTTGTCTCTAAACCCGGGCCACCTGAAGGCTCATTTCCGTTTAGCGCGCTGCCTCTTTGAGCTGAAGTACGTGGCTGAGGCTCTGGAGTGTCTCAATGACTTCAAGGGCAAGTTCCCTGAGCAGGCGCACAGCAGTGCTTGTGACGCCCTCGACAAAGACATCAAGGCAGCGCTCTTCTCCAAAACAGACGCCTGTAGGTTCAGCTTAGGCCCACTGGACATGCGTGCCTTAGCCTACATTTGTGCTAAACTCAAACTACATTGCTCCAGGTCTGTTGTGTTGCGCATTTCAGAAGACAAATCCACTAGATGGCGCCCTCTACATTTTTTGTGAATCTGAAATGCAATACTTAGGGTACGCTTTCTTGTCTGTTTCAGATGGCCACTAGAGGGCACTGTCTAGATTTTTAGGCTAATTTAATATGCGTTACTTAGGGTGCGTTTTGTTGTACTTTTCAAATGACAAATCCACTAGAGGGCGCTGTGTACATTATTTTTAAATCTGAAATGTTACTTTTGGTACGTTTTGTTGTACTTTTCAGTTGACACATCTACTAGAGGGCGCTCTGTACATTTTTGCGAATTTGAAATACGTTACTTTGGGTACGTTTTGTATTATTCAGATCCACTAGAGGGTGGTGTTTGCTGACATATGTTATATACGCTACATTTTGTACGCTTTAGATGAAAATGCAATACTTGCGGTACGTTTTGTACATTTTAGATGACAAATCCACTAGAGGGCACTGTCTACATTTTTCTGAATCTGATAAAAGCTATTTAAATACGTTTTGTTGAAGGTTTAAATTGAATAATCCACTAGAGGGCGATGTCTACGTTTGTCCAAATCTGAAATACAGTACTTGCGGTACATTTAATTTTTCAGATGACAAATCCTAAATGTTTGTGAATATAGAATATGTTACTTGGAGTACTTTTTGTACGTTTCAGATGACAAATCCACTGGAGGGCGCTGTCTACATTTTTTGTGGATCTGGTATAACTAACTTAAGTACTTTTTGTTTTAAATTTTAAATGAAAAATCTTCTAGAGGGCGCTCTCTACATTTGGAAAAATCTGAAATACGCACTACATGTAGGGATGCAACGATTATAGATTTTGGTTGTACTATTATAGCCTGAGAAATAATCTCGGTTTCACGGTTATCCCGATTATTATGCATTCATTCATTTTCATTTCGGCTTAGTCCGTTTAATAATCAGGGGTCGCCACAGTGGAATGAACCGCCAACTTATCCAGCATATGTTTTACGCAGTGGATTCCCTTCCAGCTGCAACCCATCTCTGAAAAATATTATGCATTTATTAATTTCAAACACTACTAGTTTAGAAAATCACCTGAAAACTCCTTATATTAAAGTTTTGTTTATTGCTGCTCAGTAGCTTAATAATACATGACAAAATAATAATAAAAGCAAACAATAGAATTTAAAATTAAGTCATTTAAAATTAAGTAATAATTTTACACTGAAAATAAATGATAGAACAATAAAAAAAAATAAAAATAAGAATAAAAAAATTATTGTATTGTATTTTTTTCTCTTTGAAGTAGAAATGTTTATATTCCATTAAAAGTATGAAGCTGATCAGTCCAGTTCTTGTCATGTGACTCATGGTGCATTTGTGGCATTCTTTCAACTTGGTGCGACTGGAAAGCATAAGCGCATCGATCCTAATATGCGCGTGCAAACCATGCACTTCCACTGGAAATAACGAACTTGTGCGTGCAAAGACACAATATATAAAAGGCCCTTAGTTAATAGCCACAGTTAATCCAGTGTGCATGGTTATTAGTCTCGATGTACTAGCTCGAAACTTCAAACTTGTGCACAGTTGGAGTAACTTTGTTTAGTTGCAGCAGTTTTGTTCTGTGCTGAAATGTGGTGTTGAGTAGCCTTTATGAATAATTAACCATGATCAATTAAACCGAGGTCAATAGTGAAATCGGTTAATTGTTGCATCCCTAACTACGTGTACATTTTATTGTACATTTTAGCTACATGCCCTTGTACATGTTTACTAGAAGGCGACGCTTGTCGTACAGATCAGCTAGACACAACCAATAGTGTTTACAAAAGCAAACATAAGGAAAAAAAGAGCGCTACACTAGCATTTTCTAGATTTTACATTGCTTTTACCTTCGCTAAACTTGAGCGCTCTGCAGCACAACACTATGAAAAAGACGATAAAACTGACCATGTCATACAAACTGTCCATATGGGGTTAGATAGGTGACGCAAACTAATTCATTACAAATCAAAGACGTTACGTTTTTTTTTTGTGGCGTATATTTAATATTATGCAAAGCACTGCATGAAAATAATCCTTTATCCTTCAATAATATGTCCCTGCAAATATCAATAATGTGAAAAGAAGCAAACGTTGTTTTCATCACACTGCCCCCTAGTGTACATTTAACCTACAAACTGCAGTCAAACGTATGTTTACATATGTTTGTGCGGTTTCAAAACATGTAGGCTGAAGCACGTAATTCTAATGAGCCTGAATCGCATATGTTCTTGTCTTGAATCTTACATTGTGTTATTATTTTTGGAATAATCTAAACTATTTTTCATGCACCTTATCTAGCGGATGACAAGAAGGGGAACAGCTCAATCCGCTTCCATAATTTCAGCCGGAAGGAGTCGATCCCGGAGGATGAGATCGTCCTCAGAGAGCGAAGTTTTGACTATAAGCATCGCTACTGCGGACACTGCAATACCACCACCGACATTAAGGAGGCAAACTTCTTTGGGAGGTCAGTTTACAGACACATTAGTCACTTCCATACTGTAAGAAAATATGTGTGTAGTGACGTCACCTGTCGGTTTAAAAAAAATAAAACAAATGCATTAAGAATATATATTATAAAAATGTAAAAATGACTGTGGTCAATACTGTTAGCCCTCTTAAGTAATATATATTTCTAATTGGCTACAGAACAAACCACTGTTGTCCAATGTCTTGCATATAATAATGCTGCTGTCAAATGATCAATCGCAATTTAATTGCATTCAAAATTCAGTTCATATTTACAAAATATATTTGTGTGTACCGTGTTTGTTTTTGTTAGTTTTTATGCATAAATATAGAGTATAAAATGTTTTATATTTATATATATATATATATAAACACCAATTTTCACCTTTGAAGCAGGTTTTGATGTTGTTTTGTTTGACTGTTTTTGAATCAGTCGTGTTTTAAATTATGAGGGGTCGCCACAGCAGAATGAACCACCAACTATTCCTGCATATGTTTTACATAGTGGATGCCTTTTCAGCTTTCAACACCCATACACACATATTCGCATGCACACACACACACACACACACACACACACACACACACACACACACACACACACACACACACACAAAAAAACACACATACACTACGGCCAGTTTTGTTGATCAATTCCCCTATAGCACATGTGTTTGGACTGTGTGGGAAACCGGAGCACCCAGAGGAAACCCACACCAACATGAGGAGAACATGCAAACTCCACACAGAAACACCAACTGACCCAGCCGGGACTCAAACCAGCAACCTTCTCACTGTGAGGCGACAGTGCTGACCTCTGAGCCACTGTGAAGCCCATTATAAAATCAAAGGAATTAAATCCTTTTCCAATAATATGTTCCAGTTGTATCTGATGGTTTCTCTCTGCAGTAAAGGCCAGTACATTGTGAGCGGTTCAGACGACGGCTCGTTTTTCATCTGGGAGAAAGAGACGACGAATCTGGTGCGGATCTTACAGGGAGACGAGTCTATAGTGAACTGCCTGCAGCCGCATCCCGGACACTGTTTCCTGGCCACCAGCGGCATCGACCCCGTGGTGCGGCTCTGGAGCCCCAGACCCGAGGTACACACTCCTTAAAGAGGAGCTATTGTGCTGAAATCACAGTTGTGTGTGTCAGCAGTGTGTGAATATCTCCAGCCTTGATCAAAACAGACTGCAAAAACACTTTGATTGACATTCCCCCTTTGTACGTGTCATCAGAGGGCAAAGCCCCGCCCACTGGTGCCCATCTCTCCATTTCATTAGCATAAGCAGCAGCCCTAAGTGAGAGGCAGCTGTCTGTCCATTAGCCATTAGAGTGTTTGAGCTGGTGAAGATAATGTCAGCATAGACTAAGAGGATTATAGATGTGGAGTTTTAGATAAACAGCAACAGGAGCGACATAGACTGACAGAACACTGAAGCACACCACATCACACTGAAGCACATCTGTCACTATGCTGATGCACAGCTATCTGTATCTCCGCCCTCTTCTGAAAAGAGCACAGTCTCATTTGCATTTAAAGTGACAGTCACCAAAACGCCACAATTAGAATCAAAGCCTGAAAGAGTCAATAGCCCCGTTCACACATGCAGACCTTTCCGGAAAATTATCAGCAATTTTCCGGAAAGGTTTGTATGTGTGAACAGGCCCTTTTTTGAAAATACCGGTAAATTAGTTCTGGCTATTTTCCGGAAAGAGAAGTTGTAACATTACCGGTAATTTGCCGGAATGCTGCGCTGTGTGAATGCAGAAGGAAGATTGCCGTAATAAGCGCGTACACGTCTAGAACATGCTGACGTGAGACGTCTGCTTTAGCCAATCAGAACAGTCAGACGCATTCACATCCACGCGGTTTATAAAAATAAAAGCCTTTGAATATTTTTCCAGACACATTTAGCCGCTGGATGTTAGTCAGATAACATTTATATGTTCATCTTAATGCCAACCATGTAAATAATTATCGATAAGATGCTTATGATAAGCCGTTGTTTGTTTACCTTCAAGCTTTGCGTGTGCCCATCAACAGTCCATGAGCACACACACATTTCCTGTACATCTCGACACGCGAAAGTGTTTCTCTATATGTTTTCATCGAAGTTTTTCACAACACTGATCCATCCACAGAGTTTGTTATGTAGTCAAATGTTTATATACACAAGCCCAGCCATTTAGAGCTCATTTCTGGTCAGTGATGTCAGAATTTACCGGTATTTTGGAATGGATGTGTGAATGCTCTTTTCCGGAAAAATTCCATAACATCCTCGCCTGTGTGAACAGCGTTTTTTTAAATTTACCGGTAAAGTCGTTTCGGAAATTTTCCGGATATTTACCGGTATCACTGTGTGAAAGGGGCTAGTTTCAGAGAGCTGGAGAACATTATCTGTGTGCTCTTCTCAGCTCAAACTTCACTTCACACTCCAGAGATGTCACATACATGTTTTTATACCTCAAAAATATGATTACTAGGGTTAGGCAATATGGCTTTTTTTCCACATTTCCACATTTTTATTTATTTTTTTTACTAAATATCATTTTCTAAATGAATTTAGTAATAGTCATTTGAGTCTGGTCACACCAGATGCAAATGAAGCATCAATCGCAAGAGATTAACATATTAATCAATGCAAAGATGCAAATCGACATCCTGTGGTACAGTTCACGCAAATGAGGCGCCGTGAATGAGGCGCGAGTTGAGCTTTTTGCGAATTTGACGCGCTTAACTCGAGAATCGCTAAAGTTGAAAAACCTGAACTTCAGCGGACATTCGCGCCACGTTAACCAATCTGAAGCTTGCTCTAGTAAGGGTGTGAATATGATATAGCACCTGTTATATCCCTGGGAATGTCTGACACCGGCACATACACATTGAAAAAGACGTTCCAGGCATGAAAGTTTGACAGGCGTAGCAACAGTAACTAAGTAGGGCGGGGCTTAGCGAAGGGCCAATTATCCTGCTTTGGCTAAAAAGAAATCATTTAGACTGTGGCGTTCAGAGATAGTATGTTTCGTCCACCATTGGAGTTTCCCCATAATGCTGTGACGTCACAAAAACTCTCAATTGACAATGTGTATGCGCCAATGTCAGACATTGCCAGGAATATTTATTTCTTGTCAGGTTAGTCCCTTTATTAATCCAGGATCGCCACAGCGGAATGAACCACCGACTTATCCAGCACATTTTTACACAGCGGATGCCCTTCCAGCCGCAACCCATCTCTGGGAAACATCCACACACACACACTCATACACTACGGACAAATTAGCTTACCCAATTCACCTGTACTGCATGTGTTTGGACTGTGGGGCAAACCGGAGCACCCGAAGGAAACCCACGCGAACGCAGGGAGAACATGCAAACTCCACACAGAAACACCAACTGAGCTGAGGATCGACCCAGCGACCTTCTTGCTTTGAGGTGACAGCACTACCTACTGCACCACTGCATCGCCATTGGAATATGATTTAGTAATTTTTGGCAAACAGGTGAGATATTGGAGAAAGCAAGACAAAAAAAGGACTGCAGTCTGCATTACAGGAGTATATTCACCATATAATAGACAACCGATTACAGAATAATTTAATTAGAGTTGCCGCCTCATACGCTGACCATTCAACAGATTAGTTCATGCACAGCAGGATGGGTGATTTTCAAAAATAATCTATTAACAAATTAAACCGTGATTTCCCTATTTTTTAGCCAAAAAGCCTGATAGATTAATGTTGTGCAATAAAAAAATAGCGGTACCAACCCACAAGGAAACACAAATGGACAGAGCTTCTACATCATTCAATCAGAGAAAGAACAGCTAGAAAGGGAAACTGATGGATTTGTGCCGAATAATAGCATCAGTGACCCATAACAATGCACAGCACCTATATCCGTCAGTGTGTTTGTGTGCTCTTTATACTGTTTCTATTCTAATTTGCAGTTCAGTGGGAAAAAAAAAATCAATAAATTGAAGCAGAAGTGAACAAATAGATTTTCCCTACCAGCAAATATTAATCAGACACCAAATATAAAAGCAGACCTGATATAACATCGTCACCAATGACTAAATCTCTAAAAGACGGACGAAAACATTGGTGAATTGTAGCTCTGACATCGACATGAGGGTTATAAATGACTAAAAAACAGCTGCGGGTGAAGTAGATTGATCATCACAGGTGCTCAGTTTGTGATCACATCTCAGTTTTGTTCTGTTGATATGTAATTGCAAATATTCGTAGCTCAAAACAGATGGAGATATGACTGGATTGTGCTCCTTCAGCGCCCCTCACAGAGCTTGATCCACATTGGCATTTCTCCTCTTGGGTTTTTGAATTGGGAAAGGGAAGAAAACTTCCATCACCCCGTTCACACTTTTCGGATGGCGGGTATCAGATGTGCACAATCCATATGCACAGCGATTTGGTTTGTTTCCTTTGCTCAATCTTGACAGAGGCCCTGGGCGTAGCTACGGGTGCTAAGCCAGTGGCAGTTTTTGGGTGGGGCTTATCGAAAGGTCAGTTGAATTATTGAATATGGTCATGCATTATCTGTGCACTGCTGCAGAAGTAATATTGCAGTAATCTCCACTTTATTTTTTTACTTTTGTTTCTGGTCAGTGTGAGAATGAGAACGGCCGTGTGGTGGAGGACATGGAGGGCGCAGCGCAGGCTAACCAGCGGCGCATGAACGCAGACCCCCTGGAGGTGATGCTGCTGAACATGGGCTACAGAATCAGCGGTCTGAGCAGCCGCGGGGCCGAGGGGTCGGATGAAGAGGACAGCTCCGAGGGTCAGGTCCAGTGCCGCTCCAGCTGAACACACACACACACACACACATTTACTGCGCAATCCAGCTCGCGACGCCGCACGAACCAATGCTGCCGCTCCGCACTATGCAGAAGTCTGGAGAAGTGTGTTTTCCCCCTCGCACAATACAGCACATGCACCTGCGGATCACTATCTGCAACAAAACACAAGCATCAGTGAAGCGTAGCGCTCGATTGACTGCTGTTTAACGATTAATCCTGACTGATTGCATGCAAAATAAACACATTTGCATTTACATAATATGCACAGAATGTTATTATATATATATATAAATGCACACATCTATATATATTAAATTTGTATATAAATTATATGAACATTAATATATATGTAAATATCTTTCATATATATGTGTGCGCATTTATATATGCATAATAAATATACACCCTTTACACAAATTGTTTTGTGTGTATATATAAAAACACACATCCATGTATACATGTATAGAAAATGTACTTATATATAAAATATTTGTATATAACAATGCGCATAATGTATATACATATTTGTGTGTGCATTTATACGTACACAAAATCCTGCATATATAAATTCACACATCCATGTGTATATATGTACAGAAATAGTTCATATATAAATATATTTGTGTATAAGAGATTATATGTAAATATATTTAGGTATATACGTGCATGTGTGTGCGCATATATACATACAGAGCACATGTATTATGTAGGTAAAAGAGTGTATTTGCACATAATTAGTCCTGATTAATGGTTAAACAGCACTGCGCATTTCCAAAAGTCACAAAGTGCTTGGTTGTCTCTAAAGCGAGGCTTGTTATATCGGACGCTGTTGGACGTGATTTCCTTTCTTTTCTGAGGACGGGAAACTGAGTGTTCTTGTTCATCAAAGTATGTTTATAGGTCTGCAGCACTTTCTTTTGGACAAATAAACTGTTTCTGTTCGACTCTGACTTGCATTTTTATTCTGAAAATGGTGATGTTCACTGTCAGATGCTTTTGGAGGGATTTTATGATTATAGTTATTAATTTTGACCTTCTTCATCGGCACAAGCAGGACGTCTGTGTGTTTCTCTCACCTTCACCGATGAACCCGAGAAGAGACGGTAAACCAGATTATTGTAGAGCGTATATCAGATTATAAAAGGCAACAGAATCGGGTCTATTTTGGGATTATATGTGTGTTTTTGTTTCACTGTTTCCTTTTGAGTACCATTTAGTGCAGCATTTACATACATATTTGCGATTGAAAGTTCAGCGGCAGCTGATCATTGATCATTGCCGATGTGTTTTCAGTTTCGTCATCGACCGCATGGCTTTATATAGTCATAATCGCTCGCATTACTGGACAAACACACTGCACAGCTTCTCCAGACGCTTTCTTTTCCTCGTCTGTCTCAAATAAAATTAATTTATTTACAAACATGAGTCGCTTCATCCATTCTCTTAAAATCTCACTGTTTCAGATAGATGATGGATGAGCAGATAGATAAAGAACGATAGGTATAGAAGGGTGTGTGTGCGTGTGCGTGTGTGTGTGTGTGTGTGTGTGCGTGCTTTAATATGGATGGATGGATGGATGGATGGTAGATAGATAGATAGATAGATAGATAGATAGATAGATAGATAGATAGATAGATAGATAGATAGATAGATATAGATATGGATGGATGGAGAACAGTGTATGGATGGACGGACGGACAGAATGATGGATGGATAGATGGATGGATGGATGGATGGATGGAGAACGATGGATGGATGGAGAATGATGGATGGACGGATGGATGGATGGATGGATATATGGATGGATGGTTGGATAAAGAACGATAGATTGATGGATGAATGGATATAGATAGATGTGTGTGTGTGTGTATAGATAGATGGATGGATGAATGGATGGATGGATGGACGGACAGACGGATGGATGGATGGATGGATGGATGGATGGAGAATGATGGATGGATGGATAGATGAATGGATGGTTGGATAAAGAATGATAGATTGATGGATGAATGGATATAGATAGATGTGTGTGTGTGTGTATGTGTGTATAGATGGATGGATGGACGGACAGACAGACAGACGGATGGATGGATGGATGGATGGATGGATAAAGAACGATAGATAGATAGATAGATAGATAGATAGATAGATAGATAGATAGATAGATAGATAGATAGATAGATAGATAGATGGAGAACAATGGATGGATGGATGGATGGATGGATGGATGGACGGACGAACAGATAGATAGAGAGAGAACAATGGATGGATGGAGAGATAGATGGATGGATAGATGGATGAGTTTGGTTATTGTCAGATAAAGGCACAGCTAAAGTAGTTCCGGCAGATTCTGAGCGCATTACAGCTCTATATCACTCCGCTGAATGATTTGAGTTACTTCAAAAATTGCAGTTGTAATTTTTAGGCATTTTGAACTCCGCCACTAGATGGCGCCACTGACTTGTGCAGTGCATGCTTCCGGAATTCAAAAGTGTTAGTCATAATTTTGCATATTTTCACATTGCTAGTGGCTCCCTGACACTCGTACATTGTGTGTTTACATCTGAATTAAATTGTATGAAATTTCACTAATTAGCTACTTTTCTGACAAGACGTAAAATAGCTATGCTTCCTCATGATATCGGGCTGGAATAAACACATAAAGAAAGATTTCCTCATGATAGTTAGCGCTATGATCATATCATTTTAAGACTTGTTGCTTTGATTTGAACCCTTTTTTAGGCTTTAATTGAATGAAAACCAATTTAAGACTCATGGAAACCGTGTCCTATAAAACAGACATTTTCAATTGTTAAAAATATTTCATAACAGAATTACTTTGTTTGTGTATTTTTAATATTTCAATCAACCCTGGTGCACAGAAGAGGTTGTTTCCTGGGAAACAGTGCTCCTGGCAGCTGGTTGGCTACTGTGAGTTGATTGGCTGTGATCTGATTGGCTGCTGTGAGCTTACGCAGATCTGAATCCCAGAGCGCAGCTGTGATAAAGCTTCTACATTCACTTTCTCTGCACACAGTTTGTCAGAGTCTGCTTTTGCTGAATAGTTTGTTTTTCACTGTGTGTGTAATTCATTTGCTGTCGTGTTGTGCCACAAACACAGGAGGAAACCCGTGACGTGACCCACATACACTAATGAGTAGAGTATGGCGCACATCTAGGGCACTGAGCGGAGGAAGACCAGGCCACGGCTGCGTTCACAATAACATACTGCTGTAAAATGTGTACTGTACATGTTTAAGACTCCTTCCAGGTACATTTCAGGCATTTTCCATTAATTGAGAAAAAGAGTTGAAGGTAACAGTTAACGGTAACAAAGTTGACGATAACAGAGTTGACGATAACAGAGTTGACGATAACAGAGTTCGGTAACAGAGCTGATGATAACAGAGCTGACGATAGCAGAGTTGACGATAACAGAGTTGACGATAACAGAGCTGACGATAACAGAGCTGACGATAACAGAGCTGAGGATAACAGAGCTGACGATAACAGAGTTGACGATAACAGAGTTGACGATAACAGAGCTGACGATAACAGAGTTGACGATAACAGAGTTGACGATAACAGAGTTGACGATAACAGAGCTGAGGATAACAGAGCTGACGATAACAGAGTTGACGATAACAGAGTTGACGATAACAGAGTTGACGATAACAGAGTTGACGATAACAGAGTTGACGATAACAGAGCTGACGATAACAGAGCTGACGATAACAGAGTTGACGATAACAGAGCTGACGATAACAGAGTTGACGATAACAGACGATAACAGAGCTGACGATAACAGAGTTCGGTAACAGAGTTGACGATAACAGAGCTGACGATAACAGAGTTGACGATAACAGAGTTGATAACAGAGTTGACGATAACAGAGTTGACGATAACAGAGTTGACGATAACAGAGCTGAGGATAACAGAGCTGACGATAACAGAGTTGACGATAACAGAGTTGACGATAACAGAGTTCGGTAACAGAGTTGACGATAACAGAGCTGACGATAGCAGAGCTGACGATAGCAGAGCTGACGATAACAGAGTTGACGATAACAGAGCTGACTATAACAGAGTTGACGATAACAGAGCTGAGGATAACAGAGCTGACGATAACAGAGCTGACGATAACAGAGCTGACGATAACAGAGTTGACGATAACAGAGTTGACGATAACAGAGCTGACGATAACAGAGCTGACGATAACAGAGTTGACGATAACAGACGATAACAGAGCTGACGATAACAGAGTTCGGTAACAGAGTTGACGATAACAGAGCTGACGATAACAGAGTTGACGATAACAGAGTTGACGATAACAGAGTTGACGATAACAGAGTTGACGATAACAGAGCTGAGGATAACAGAGCTGACGATAACAGAGTTGACAATAACAGAGTTGACGATAACAAAGTTGACGATAACAGAGTTGACGATAACAGAGCTGACGATAACAGAGTTGACGATAACAGCTGACGATAACAGAGTTGACGATAACAGAGCTGACGATAACAGAGTTGACGATAACAGAGTTGACGATAACAGAGTTCGGTAACAGAGTTGACGATAACAGAGTTGACGATAACAGAGCTGACGATAACAGAGCTGACGATAACAGAGTTGACGATAACAGAGTTGACAATAACAGAGCTGACGATAACAGAGTTGACGATAACAGAGTTGACAATAACAGAGCTGACGATAACAGAGTTCGGTAACAGAGTTGACGATAACAGAGCTGACGATAACAGAGTTGACGATAACAGAGTTGACGATAACAGAGTTGACGATAACAGAGCTGACGATAACAGAGTTGACGATAACAGAGCTGACGATAACAGAGTTGACGATAACAGAGCTGACGATAACAGAGTTGACGATAACAGAGTTGACGATAACAGAGTTCGATAACAGAATTGACGATAACAGAGCTGACGATAACAGAGTTCGGTAACAGAGTTGATGATAACAGAGTTGACGATAACAGAGCTGACGATAACAGAGTTAACGATAACAAGACTGACGATAACAGAGTTCGGTAACAGAGTTGACGATAACAGAGCTGACAATAACAGAGTTCGGTAACAGAGTTGACGATAACAGAGTTGACGATAACAGAGCTGACGATAACAGAGCTGACGATAACAGAGCTGACGATAACAGAGCTGACGATAACAGAGTTCGGTAACAGAGTTGACGATAACAGAGCTGACGATAACAGAGTTTGGTAACAGAGCTGACGATAACAGAGCTGACGATAACAGAGTTTGGTAACAGAGCTGACGATAACAGAGTTTGGTAACAGAGCTGACGATAACAGAGTTCGGTAACAGAGCTGACCAAAACAGAGTTCGGTAACAGAGCTGACGATAACAGAGTTCGGTAACAGAGTTGATGATAACAGAGCTGACGATAACAGAGTTGACGATAACAGAGCTGACGATAACAGAGTTGATGGTAGAGTTGATGTAGCAGAGTTGACAGTAGCAAAGTTGACGATTAACTGAGTTGGCGATAAACAAAGTTGACAGTAATAGAATTGACAAATAGAATGGACGATAAGAGTCGACAGTAACAGAGTTCATGTAGCAGAGTTGACCATAAACAAAGCTAACTGTAGCAGAGTTGATGATAAACAGAGTTGACAATAAACAAAGCTGACGGTAACACAGTTGACGATAAACAGAGTTGACAATAAACAAAGTTGTCTGTAAAAGAGTTGATATAACAGTGTTGACGTAACAGAGTTGACGATAAACAAAGATGACGGTAACAGAGTTAATAATAATCAAAAAAGATGACGGTAAAAGAGTTTATGCAACAGAGTTGACGATAGAGCTGATGGTAACAGAGTTGACAATAAACAAAGCTTACTGTAGCAAAGTAAAAGAGACATAAAAGAGTTGATGTAACAGAGTTGATGATAAACAGAGTTGATGATAAAGCTGACTGTAAAGGTACTCTGTATTTTTTAAATCTGTAAATTAAATCAAATCGAATTAGAATGAACAATCTGCACATGATGCATCCTGTGTGATGTTCACTATATAGTCATGTTCATCAGTACATTAGTGACTGCTTGCGCTACTGGAATAATCTGGAGCACATCCCTCATAAATGCTCACTGCACACCTGTGCTCCACTTTTACACTGACTTCAGATCAATTACTGTGACACAAACACAGCATACAGATCAATGAAGCTGCTCTACATTTCCTTAACATTACATCTGTGTGTGCATGCTTTAATCCTGCCAAAACAAATCTGCTTTTAATCTTATTTAGCCATCACAATGCATTTAAGTGTGCTTTCTCTTGAACACACACAACCATTTCTTTAAAAATGCATACATAAAAAAATCAATGCTTTAAAAATACACACCATTTTATAAGTGATATAATAACTTTAATTAAATGTGGCAGTGTTTACAGAAATGATCAATTATAGGCATTATTTTCCAAGACATGTGACATTTAACGTTACCTCTTGCATTCTTCTTATCGGAATACTAGCCAAATTGTTCTATGAATAGTAAAAGAAAATCAATAACAACAGGTAAAGTACATATAATGATAATAGTATTCCTTTCTTTTTTTCTGTAAAATTATATGTTAATTAAACCTGCTATTATACCATTGGCTGTGTTCGGCTAGCGCTCGGCTTTTTCCGGCGGCGCGTGTGCGGGCGTCATGACGTCAGCGCGCACTCTGTGATGGCGGATGTAAGCGAGATTGACACCATGAAGCACTACCACGGCGGTTTCGAGAAAATTGACAGAGAAATGAGCCGGTACCCGCACTGTATCGTCTGGACACCGATCCCGGTACTGACGTGAGTAACCAACCGAGCCGTTGTGGCGTACACGCGCTTTAACGAATACGTGTCCGTCTGTCATAATGATGAGAGCGAGCTCGTATAATCCAAACACACACACACACGCTTTCTCTTTCTATTTCTCTCTCTGTCACAAACACACACACACGTATTGCTTTACATGATTGATGGGCCTCTTCATAGGCATTATGTATTTTATATAGTAAAACCTACTTATTATATACCCTTTCCGTCATACACATCACACACACACACACACATCTTTCTTTCTCTCTCTCACACACACACACACACACACAAACACACATCTTTCTTTCTCTCTCTCTCTTTCTCTCTCACACACACACACACACAAACACTTATAAACACATACACATACAGTCACAAATATATATATATATATATATATATATATATATATATATATATATATATATATATATATATATATACTCTCACACACTCATAAACATACAGACAATAATACACTTACAGTCTCAGATGTGCTCACACATACACGCACACACACTGATAAACGTCCACACAGTCTCAAACATCCATATAAACACACTCAGTCATAGACAAATATACTCTCTAACACACATAAACACACAGTATTAGACAGGTGCACACACCCTCACCCTCTCTTACGCTCACACAAACATATACACAGTCACTCACCAACAAAGTTTCTCATATAGACATATATACACACACACACTTATACACATACACACAGTCACAAACATATACTCTCACACACTCATACACTTACACTCTCTCAAATGTGCTTTCTCAGACACACACACACACACACACATTCCCCATCAGCGTCTGTGGTGTTGCTCTGATGATGATGGTGAACAGTGTTCTTGGGTTTTGTATTGTTGTGTTGTGTTTATTATTGTGGTGTTGTGTTAGTTACGGTGTTGTTTATTATTAAATTTTGTTTATTGTTGTGTTGATTGTTGTATTCTTGTGTTGTGTTGATTGTTGTGTTGTGTTGTGTTGACTGCTCTGTTATTGTGTTGTGTTGATTGTTGTATTGTTGTGTTGTGTTGATTGCTTTATTGTTGCATTCATTATTGCATTGTTGTGTTGATTATTGTATTCTTGTGTTGTGTTGTGTTGACTGTTGTGTTGTGTTGATTGTTGTATTGTTGCATTCATTCTTGTATTGATTGTTGTGTTAATTGTTGTGTTGTGTTGATTGTTGTTGTGTTGTGTTGATTGTTGTGGTGTTGTGTAGACTGTTGTGGTGTGTTGATTGTTGTATTGTTGCGTTGATAATTGTATTGTGTTATGTTGTTGATTGTTGTATTGTGTTGTGTTGATTATTGTATTGTATTCTTGTGTTGTATTGTGTTGTGTTGTTGGTTGTTGTGTTGTGTTGATTATTGTATTGTGTTGTGTTGTTGATTGTTGTGTTGTGTTGTGTTGATTATTGTATTGTATTCTTGTGTTGTATTGTATTGTGTTGTTGATGTGTTGTGTTGTGTTGTGTTGATTATTGTATTGTATTCTTGTGTTGTATTGTGTTGTGTTGTTGATTGTTGTGTTGTGTTGTGTTGATTATTGTATTGTATTCTTGTGTTTTATTGTGTTGTGTTGTTGATTGTTGTGTTGTGTTGATTGTTGTATACTTGTGTTGATTGTTGTATTGTGTTGTGTTGTTGATTGTTGTATTGTGTTGTGTTGATTATTGTTGTGTGTTGTCAGCTGGTTCTTGCCCTTCATTGGCCACATGGGCATCTGCAGCTCCGCCGGGGTGATCCGGGATTTCGCAGGACCGTACTTCGTCTCAGTGAGTCTCCTACATCTGCTCATTCTGTCTTTACTCATCAGCACTGGTTCATCTTATTCACGTCTCTCATCTCTGCTGTACACAGGAGGACAACATGGCCTTCGGGAAACCAACCAAGTGAGTAAAATAAATCAAATATGGTCGACCCAGAGAGTCCTATTTTGAAGCAATCATTGTTATTCATTATTAATAAATAAAAGAAAATGTGGTCTCTGGTTTGAGTCCCGGCTGGGTCAGTGTGTGTTTCTGTGTGGAGTTTGCATGTTCTCCACGTGTTGGCGTGGGTTTCCTCCGGGTGCTCCTGTTTCCCCCACAGTCTAAACACATGTGCTATAGGGGAACTGATCAACTACACTGGCCGTAGTTTATGTGTAGTGAACTGTACAAATAACTTTGAATTAAAGTTTAAAATAAATGTGTAATTCTCTATGTATCCTCACCCCTAATCTGCACATACGAGATGAAATATAGTTTTAAAGATGACGTTATTGATGTGTAATGTGTGCGTTTGAATGCTTGTTGTTGTAGATACTGGAAGCTGGATAAGAACAAAGTGTATGGTGGTGGAGCAAACGCCTGGGATGTGGCCGTACATGAAGCGTCGGAGGAATACAAGAACAGAATGGTGAGCTATCTGCAGGAATATCTGACAGAAATATGAGAAATTAGAAATGCACCAATATTCATCAACCGCTGATATTGTATTAGTTTAAAACTATAAGCACACTGATGGATAATATTGACCTGTAGGAAATGTGCTGCACTTTTGAATAATCAAGCATTTTTCTTGGAGCAAAATTATTAAACGCTTGCTAAAAACTAAATATTATCTGTACAAAATATCAGTCTTATATTATATTATATTATATTATATTATATTGTATTATATTATATTATATTATTTTATATTATAATATTTTATATTATATTATTTTATATTATATTATTTTATTTTATATTATATTATATTATATTATATTATATTATATTATATTATATTATTATATTGTATTATTTTATATTATATTATATTGTATTATATTATATTATATTATTTTATATTATATTATATTATTTTGTATAATATTATATTGTATTATATTATATTATATTGTATTATTTTATATTATATTATAGTATATTATATTATATTATATTATATTGTATTATTTTATATTATATTATATTATATTATATTATATTGTATTATTTTATATTATATTATATTATATTATATTATATTGTATTATTTTATATTATATTATATTATATTATATTATATTATATTATATTATATTATGTTATGTTATATTATATTATATTATATTATATTATATTATATTATATTATATTATATTATTTTATATTATATTATTTTACATTATATTATTTTATATTATATTATATTAAATTATCAGTCTAACTATAGCTGAGATGTTAAAAGGGGTCAGAGTCTTGTTGGGGTAATATTGATTTTATACAACAGTTCAAAAAACAAAATTTTTATTTTAGACCAAAGATTATTATTAATACACACTTCTTTGTCTGATTAATCTGTGTGTTTACATAAAATAATCAGTCCAAGGCACTCAAAAAATAAGTAAAAGAAAAAACTTTAAAAGCCTTTATTGACATGGCTATTATTTTAGATAGTTTTAAGTAATAGCCTTGTCAAAAACAGCAGATTTTTCGAGTGCCTTGGGCTGATAATTTTTTTAGATCATTAAGAATTCCTTATCCAAAAGCACAGGCACATTCATTTACGCCTGAAGTGCCTTTAGTTTTAGTGTGTTTGGATTTGGTCATCGGTGTGTTGTTGTTTTGGTTTGCTTGATGTTAACCGCTGTTGTTGTGTTGTTGTTTTACAGCACAATCTGTGTTGTGATAACTGTCACTCTCATGTGGCCATGGCTCTGAATCTGATGCGCTACAACAACAGCTCATCCTGGAACATGGCTAACCTGTGCCTGCGCTTCCTCATCCACAGCAAACACGTCAGGTCAGAGACAGTACACAAGCCATCAAACACATGCTAACGTTGACCCTTTTCCCCTCTGTCGTGAACTCGTGATGTACATCGAAAACATGAGAATATTCAGAATGAGAATAAAATGTAGGGCAGTGCATGATTTCATACTTTGGGAACCGATTGGATTGTGGAAAGATGAAAAGACACACCCTGATAGCCCCGCTATCAGTCCTTTAGGGACAGCCTACCAGTCCTTTACGACTGATAGCCCCGCCTTAAAAGACTGGTAGGCCGTCCCTAATGCACTGGTAACCCCTCCCTAAAAGACTGATAGCTCCATCCTGAAGATCTGATAGCTCTACTTCAAAAGACTGATAGCTCCTATCTAAAGGACCGAAAGCTACACCCTAAAAGACTGATACCTCTACCCTAAAGGGCTGATAACTATACCCTAAAGGACTGATAGCCCCTCCCTTAAGGACTGGTAGCCCCTCCCTAAAGAACTGATAGCTCCACCCTAAAGGACTAATAGCCCCTCCCTAAAGATCTGATAGATCCACCCTAAAAGACTGGTAGCTCTATCCTAAAGGACTGATAACTTCACCCCATAGGACTGATAGCTGCTCCCTTACAGACTAATATCTCCACCCTAAAAGATTTGTAGCCATAAAGGATTGATAGCCACACCCTAAAGGACTAAAAGTCCCTCTCTAAAGGACTGAACGTGACTGAATTGATAGCTCCACCCTAATGCACTGATAGCCCCTCCCTAAATGACTGATAGCCCCTCCTTTAAGGTCTGATAGCTCCACCCTAAAGCATTGATAGCCCCACCCTGAAGGACTAATAGCCCCTCCCTAAAAGACTGATTGGCCCTCCCTAAAAGATTGATAGCTCCACCCTAATGCACTGATAGCCCCTCCCTAAATGACTGATAGCCCCTCCTTCAAGGTCTGATAGCTCCACCCTAAAGGATTGATAGCCCCACCCTGAAGGACTAATTGCCCCTCTCTAAAGGATTGGTAGCTCCACCCTAATACACTGATAGCCCCGCCCTAAATGACTGACAGGCCCTCTCTAAAAGGAATGATAGCCCTACCTTAATGCACTGAAAGCCCCACCCTAAAGACTGATATCTCCATCCTAAAGGACAGATAGCTCCATCCTAAAAAAACTGTTAGCTCCGCCCTAAATTACAGATGCTCAGACTTAAGAACTGATAGCTCCGCCCTAAATTACAGATGCTCAGACTTAAAGAACTGATAGCTCCGCCCTAAATTACAGATGCTCAGACTTAAAGAACTGATAGCTCCGCCCTAAAGGCATACCATGTGACCGGATGTGAAGTAAGTTGTTTTGAGTGGGGTGTGAAGGTTATGCTGCATGATTAAAGAGTCTGAGGGCAACTGAATTTTTATAAAGTAATCAAGTGCTCAGATACTTCATTTATAACAAGACCTACTATATTTATATACAATTAGGATTAAAGCCTGGGAGGGTCAGTTTCAGAGAGCTGGAGAACATTATCTGCGTGATATTCTCAGCTCAAACTGAAACACACACTGTAGAGCCAACAGAGACACATGTTACGTCTTATAAAAGGAGCATAAATGGTGTCCTTTAAATATAAATGACAGATGTTTATAGGTCTGTTAGTGCGTGCGATGAACTGTGAGAATAATCATGGTTAAGAATAAACGGTGACGGTGCCGGAGGATGCAGGAGTCAGTGTGTCCTTACCTCTGACTCAATGATTTATAGCAGCATGTGTGTGTGTTCCGGTGGGATCTGGCGGTAGAGCACGCCAGCACACACACACATGCGGGGGTTCTGGGAGGAAAAGATGGATAGTAGGACTGAGTGTAAGATTCTGCTCCGATTTCAGCACTTTAAAGCTGCAGCGGTGTCAGCAGAGACATTAGGGTGAGAAATTAAAGGGCTAGTTCACCTAAATATAACATTTCCTCATTTCCTCACACTCAAGTGGTTGTACATGTTTAGAGTTTACAGTTATAGACCTTTTTCATGGCTGCTGCATGGAGGGCGCCATACTGACCAGCGTCTTCCGGTAGAATGCTAAAAACTTCCGTTTACAGCGTGTACAACTGATAATTTGCGCTCTGAAAATGGGTTTCAATGACGTTTTTAATGGATAACAGAGCGTTTTTGTGACACACAACTTGTGTGTCTGTTAAAGCCGTTATAATCTGTCACATGTGGTTCAAGCGAGATAGAAATACGAGAAAAACGTTCTCCTAGTTCACGTGTCTGCCGGCAGAAATACAGTGTTTGTGTGTGTGCGTTCCCGGCCTGTTAGCTCAGCAGCTCTTTAACACACACACACACACACACACACACACACACACACACACACACAGAGAGAGAGAGAGAGAGAGAGAGCAAACCAGAGTACTGGCATGAAACTTAACAGGTATAAAAGTCGTGCAATTTACAAAAATGAGCAATAAAAGTCTGTTATTGATCCTCTGCTGCTGATCTGCTGTTCATTCTAATCGCGAGCTGTTTGTATTTTATTTTGTGTGTTGTGTTTACCACGGTTTGTGTTTTTCTGTCATTTGGAAAAGACACTAGTCTATATTTTCACTTTGTCACAGTTATTAAATCAGTGTGTCAGTGGCACAGGACAGGCTACGTGTGTGTGTCAAACATTTTGCTGAACTACATTAGTTTGGGCTGGTTATATATTTGAAATAAAGAGAAAATGTTGACTTTAGCGATGACGAGGCTTCATTTAAACTGCAGAAGATGCCGTCTGACAACGAGGGGAAAACGCTTCACAGCAGCTGTTTTCCATCCTATTAGATCACATTTCTGTAAATGATCAGTCCAGGAGATGCTGCTGATGGACAACAGGATTAGATAAAGAGGATAAAAGCAGGTAAAATAGATTAAAACTATCGTTTCAAAGCTGTCCAAATGTGACTGTTTACACGCATCAGCTGCCGACCGGAAGTTCTTCGCATTCTCCTTGCACATACACGCAAAGCATCATGGGTAATTTTGCGTTCCAAGAAAAAGGTCTATAGTCTCTGAGTTTCTTTCTGTTGAACAAAAAGTGAAATATTCTGAGAAAGCAGCCCATTGGCTAACATAGTAGGGTCAAGGGTAGGGCTGCACAATATACGGTTTTAGCTTCGAAATTTATCATATCAAAAGATGATATTTAGATTTTTATTCTAACTAGGTTCCAATAAGCCTAAATAGCAAAGAGAAATAAAAAATGCATGTAAAATAACACTGTTCTCACAGCAAGTAGGTCGCTGGTTCGAGTCCCAGCTAGGTCAGTTGGCATTTCTATGTGGAGTTTGCATGTTCTCCCTGTGTTGGCGTGGGTTTCCTTCGGTTGCAACCATCTGTGCAGCAATCCACCAATCAGGCCTGTATGGTTGAGTGGCCAGACGGAAGACACTCTCACCGGGAGTTTGCCATCTGAAGGACTCTCAGAGCATCAGAAACTAAACTCTCTGCTCTGATGAGACTCAAACTGAACTGTATGGAGTGAACGCCAGGCGTTACGTGTGGAGAACAGCAGGCAGCGCTCATCAGCAGGCTAACAGCATCCCTACAGTGAAGCATGGTGGTGTTGGCATCATGCTGTGGGGATGTGTTTCAGCAGCAGGAACTGGAAGACTAGTCAGGATAGAGGGAAAGATGAATGCAGCGATGTACAGAGACATCCTGAATGAAGACCTGCACAAGAGTGCTCTCCACCTCAGACTGGGGCGACGCCAGGCCCGGATTGGCTAATCGGGAGGACCGGGAGAATTCCCGGTGGGCCGGTCCGTTTTTTGGCCGCGAGGGCCAGTGTCCCTAGCTGCAGAATCTGTTGCTCTCAGCAGTCACACTTTTTAAATTTATTTATTTACTTGACCACAGCCTTTTTATTCATTATTTTACCACAACTCTTCTCTTTTCATCTATTTTAATGATTATAAAACGCAGTTTTGTCTCCTCTCTGATCACAGTTATTGTGGTCCTGTGGTTAGCACGATAGATTAAGACGCCGCGGACCCGGGTTCGATCCTCGTTAGAGTAACTTATTGTTTTCATTTTTATTGTTAAGACATATAATACTGTTAGGGTTGTTGAACATTTGAAGTTCTAAAGCAGCTGTTTTCTCAAAAAAAGACGTGATAGTGTAATTAGAAACTGATTTGGAAATGACCTTATTTTAATATAGTCAGTCGTGAACTGAGGTGGGCCGGTCTGAGGCTTGAAACTCCAGGGCTGAAAAGGAGTCCCACTCCGGCCCTGGGCGACGCTTCATCTTCCAGCAGGACAATGACCCAAAGCACACCACCAACATATCAATGGAGTGGCACAACAACAACTCACTGAATGTCCTTGAGTGGCCCAGCCAGAGCCCAGATCTAAATCCTATTGAACATCTCTGGAGAGATCTGAAAATGGCTGAACACCGTCCCTTCCCATCTGACCTGATAGAGCTTAAGAGGAATGGGCAAAAATCCACAAAGACAGCTGTGCAGAGCTTGTGGCATCATATTCAGAAAGACTTGAGGCTGTAATCACTGCCAAAGGTACATCAACAGAGTATTGAGCAAAGGCTGTGAATACTGATGTACTTTACAGCTTTTTATTTTTAATAAATTTACAACAATTTTAAAAACTCTTTCTTCACATTGTCATTATGGGGGATTGTGTGTAGAATGTTCAGGAAATAAATAAAGTTTATCCATTTTGGAATAAGGCTGTAACATAAACAAATGTGGAAAAAGTGAAGCGCTATCAATACTTTCCGGATGCTCTATACCAGGGATGTCCAAACTCGGTCCTGGAGAGCCGGTGTCCTGCAGATTTTAGCTCCAACTTGCCTCAACACACCTGCAAGGATGTTTCTTAGCCGGGTTAGAGCTTGATTAGCTAGCCCAGGTGTGTCTGATTGGGGTTGGAACTAAACTTTGCAGGACACCGGCCCTCCAGGACCGAGTTTGGACATGCCTGCTCTATACAGATGCTAAAAACACATGCAAAAAAAGATCAACCTTATGGTAGGAATCTTCATCTGCGGTCAAACTTAATCCCAGTTCAACATTGAGGATGTCACTAATGTGAATACACACATTGCTATTTCCACGCTAAAGCCATAAACTCAAACAGAGCTCTCTCTTTAAATCTACACGCTGCTCAGATCGATTATTTGAAGGTGTGTGTGTGTGTGTTTCCTGTTGTCCTGCAGCTTCGTGGGGTTTCTGAAGACCTGGCTGCCTTTCCTGATGATTTGTGGGGTCATCGTCACCATCGCCCTTGCCGTCAACCTGCGGTGACTGATGCATGCTGGGAAACGGCGCCGACAGGAGCATCAAACACTGAGAGATGCTGCACAGGATTAACCCAAACTCAGGATTAGCAAGAGTCACGGCTGTAAAACTCAATCAAATGTGAATCTGCTGGAATTACAGAGAGCGCTCCACACCTCACGACTCGCAGATTGTGTGTACATATGTGAATTACGGGGACGCTTTACATTACAGGAGCTTCAACAGGAGATATCATCATATCACACATGCAGAATATCAGTGGCTTACAGTGAAGAAACGCTTCCCATCGAGATGAGCTGCATTCGAAGAAGTGTGCACTCTGAAATATGATGGGTTGTTTTAACACAATGTTTGGTCAGATATGGACCAACCCAACTGTTGGGTTAAAAAAAAGAGCAGTTTTAATTCAGTTAAAATAATTCAGCATATTTGACCCAAGGTTGTGTTTATTTATTGTTTAAATATAAATGACACTTTTTAAACTCAGTGGTTGGGTTTTCCCAGTGTTGGGTCAATTTAATTAAATTTAAATGACACTTTTTAACTCAGCAGTTGTGTTTGTCCATATTTAACTCAAATTTGGGTTAATTTATTGAATTATATTTAAATTACACCTTGAAAACTCAATAATTGGGTCAGTCTATATTTGGCCCAACGTTGGGTCAATTTAATTAATTAAATTTAAATTACAATTTTAAAACTCAATAGTTGGGTTTGTCTATATTTGACCCAATGTTGAGTCAATTTAAATGACACTTTTTAAACACAATGGTTGTGTCAGTCTATATTTGACCCAACGCTGGGTCAATTTAATTAATTCTATTTAAATGACACTTTTTGGTTGACACTTAATGGTTGAGTTTGTTCATATTTGACCCAACATTGAATTTATTTAGTTCAATTTAAATGACACTTTTTAACTCGGCAGTTGTGTTTGTCCATATTTAACTCAATGTTGAGTTAATTTATTGAATTATATTTAAATTACACTTTTAAAACTCAATATAGTTTGGTCTGTCCATATTTGGCCCAACATTGGGTCAATTCAATTAATTAAATTTAAATTACAATTTTAAAACTCAATAGTTGGGTTTCTCTATATTTGACCCAACATTGAGTTTATTAATTCAATTTAAATGACACTTTTTAACTCAGTGGTTGTGTCTGTCTATATTTGACCCAACAGTGGGTCAATTTAAAAATAAGTAAAATTTTTAAACACAATGGCTGAGTCTGTCTATATTTGACCCAATGCTGGGTCAATTTAATTAATTCTATTTAAATGACACTTTTTGGTTGACACTTAATGGTTGAGCTTGTTCATATTTAACCGAACATTGAATTTATTTAATTAAATTTAAATACAATTTTAAAACTCAATATAGTTGGGTCTGTCTATATTTGGCTAGACGTTTGGTCAATTTAATTAATTAAATTTAAATTACAGTTTTAAAACTCAATAGTTGAGTTTGTTCATATTTGACCCATGCAACATTGAATTTATTTAATTAAATTTAAATGACACTTTTTAACTCAGTGGTTGGGTCTGTCTATATTTGACCCAACATTGGGTTAATTTATTGAATTAAATTTAAATGACACTTTTAAAACTCAGCAGTTGTGTTTGTCCATATTTAACTCAACATTGGGTTAATTTATTGTATTAAATTTAAATTACACTTTGAAAACGTTATAGTTGGGTCCGTCTATATTTGGCCCAACTCTGGGTCAATTTAATTAATTAAATTTAAATTACTATTTTAAAACTCAATAGTTGGGTTTGTTCATATTTGACCCAACATTGAATTTATTTAATTTAGTTTAAATGACACTTTTTAACTCAGCAGTTGTGTTTCTCTATATTTGACTCAACGTTGGGTTAATTTATTGACTGTAATTTAAATGACACTTTTAAAACTCAATAGTTGGGTCTGTCTATATTCCACCTAACATGGGATTTGTTAATTAAATTATAATTACACATTTTATCTCAACAATTGGGTTTCTTTATATTTGACCCAATTGTGGGTCAATTTAATTAAATTTAAATGACAAGCGCAGTGATTGGGTTTGTCCTTATTTGATCAGAATTTAAGTTGATATATTGAATTATTTAAATGACACTTTTTAACTCAACAGTTGTTTTTGTCTATATTTGACCCTATGTTGGGTTAATTTGTTTTTAGTGAATTTACATTATTTTAACACTACTTTTGTTTTTGTTTTTCAAATTTGACCCAACATTGAGTCAATTTATTAAACTCAAATGACAATTTTTAAACACTACATTTGGGTTTGTCCATATTTGACCCAGCATTGTGTTAAACAGCCCAGTGTTTTTTGAATGTAAGCATGGAAATCCCCTTCGTGTTTTTGTTTTCCTTGTGTTTAATCTGTTTCAGGATGTTTACAGGATGTTTATATCGTGCTCTTTTATTGGGAGTTTCTACATTTGGTTCATTCCTTTTGATTTTTATGTCTTCATTTATATTTTATGACCAAATACAAACGTATATCCATGATGTCAGTTTGCCCTCTTTATTTAATAGACCAGAGTTGGGGAAAGTTAAAAGTAGATTACAATCTTGCAAAACTTTTTTTTTTCTTCATCTTCTTCTTCATTTGGGCCGGGTTTGATGTTAATAATGTTTTAACGCCCTAAAATATTCTGGGTTATTGCAAACCAGTTTTGGTTAAATTATTGACAAAATCCAACCACTTGCTTAACAATATTGAAGTTAATTTCATAGGACCAATTATAACCCAACATTCGTGCTTGTCCATATTTTACCCAATTTAGTTTGAAATAGGGCGGCACTGTGACTCAGTGGTTAGCACTGTGGCCTCACAGCAAGAAGGTCTCTGGTTCGAGTCCCAGCTGGGTCAGTTGGTGTTTCTGTGTGGAGTTTGCATGGTCTCCCAGTGTTGGCGTGGGTTTCCTCCGGGTGCTCCCACAGTCCTAACACATGCGCTATAGGGGAATTGGGTGAGCTAAAATTGTCCGTAGTGTATGAGTGTTTTCCAGTACTGGGTTGCAGTGGGAAGGGCATCCATTGTGTGTAAAACATTTGCTGGAATAAGTGGCGGTTCATTCCGCTGTGGCGACTCCTGATAAATCAGAGAATAAGGCGAAGTAAAAATGAATTAACTAGGAGAAGATAATAAATGTTTTTATTAATTTATTTTTTATGAAAGTAACTCCAATATTTTAATGGAAATGTCGAGTTACCAGTGTTTTTGAAAGCATATGTTTGGGAGGTTCATGCATGACAAATGAAAGAAAATATTATATTCTTCAAGTGCAGCATCATGACTTTAAGACACGGTTCACCCCTAAAGGAAAATTCTGTCATCATATCAAACCTGTTTGAGTTTTTTTTTCTGTTTAACACAATAGAAGATATTTTGAAGAATGTTAAAAACCTGCACCCATTGACTTCCATAATATTAGTTTTTTCTACTATGGATGCCAGTAGCTGCAACCGTTTTTCAGAATAACTCCTATTGTGTTCAACAGAAGAAAGAAACTAAAGTTTGGAACTACTTGATGGCGTGTAAATAGTTAGTAAATTCACAGTTTTTGGGTGAACTGTGCCTTTAAGTTTCTTCCCAGTATCTGTAAAAAAATACAGTATATATATATGCAGATGCAGAAACCTCGAAATGCCGTCTGAAATGTTCCACTAAAATTAGCATTTTTATCAGGCTCCTGTGTTTATGTTCAGTAACGTCACTTTTATGGCAAAGAATAAGACCTTTTTCCTGTCTTTAAAGTGAAATATCTCAGTAAAGGAGGGTGAGAATGATGTTCATTTTTGATGGAAAGTTCAGATGGCATGGCACTTGGAGGTTTTTGCATCTGAACTCTTCATATATACATATATATGGGCAACGCAGTGGCACAGTAGGTAGTGCTGTCGCCTGAGCAAGAAGGTCACTGGTTCGAGCCTCGGCTGGGTCAGTTGGCGTTTCTGTGTGGAGTTTGCTTGTTCTCCCTGCATTCGCCTGGGTTTCCTCTGGGTGCTCCGGTTTCCCCCACAGTCCAAACACATGCGGTACAGGTGAATTGGGTAGGCTAAATTGTTCGTAGTGAATGAGTGTGTGGATGTTTCCCAGAGATGGGTTGCGGCTGGAAGGGCATCTGCTGTGTAAAAACATGCTGGATAAGTTGGCGGTTCATTCTGCTGTAGCGACCCCGGTTTAATAAAGGGACTAATCCGAAAAGAAAATGAATGAATATATGTGTGTGTGTGTGTGTGTGTGTGTGTGTGTGTGTGTGTGTGTGTGTGTGTGTGTGTGTGTGTGTGTGTGTGTGTGTGTGTGTGTGTGTGTGTGTGTGTGTGTGTGTGTGTGTGTGTGTGTGTGTGTGTGTGTGTGTGTGTGTGTGTGTGTGTGTGTGTGTGTGTGTGTGTGTGTGTGTGTGTGTAAACTTTTCAAGCTTAAACGTTGCTGGAAGAAAGATCAATGTATTGAAAACTGCTGATTTACGGGTGATTTATGAGTGTACAACAGCAAACCAAACAATATATTGCTTTAAAGTATTCAAAATGTTCATAAAAGTCACTTTTCCCAACTTTTTAAAGTTGTTAAAAGATAGATTAAGGTCACATAATGCAATTCAAACCAGGGAAATAAAATAAAAACTGCTAATTTGCGATGTTTCACGGTGCAGCTCTGCTGAGAGTGCATGTGGTGTGCTCAGCGTGTGTTGGGTATGATAGGTGTTTGGAGTGCGTGAGCTCCACCCACCGCATCCCCAGCTGTGCGGTGGCCGGGCTGTGAGCGTCTTTCCTCGGGCAGCGCTGCTCAGACGCGCCGGTCTGTGAGTCGCAGAGCTCGGATGATGCCGCTGACGCTCGCCTGCGCGTCGCTCCTGCTGATGTGCGTCTGCTGGAGCGTCGCGTTGTGTCCGCCGCGCTGTGTCTGCTCCGGGACGCCTCTCACCGTGCGCTGCTCGCCAACTGACCTCCCGGGACTCACCGGCACTCTGAGCCGCTCCGGAGACTCCCTGCAGCAGCTACAGCACAGCAGCTTCCGCGGGCTCCGGAACACCACACTGCTGGAGCTCAGCCACAACCGGTGAGAAAAAACAGCCATACAGATGTGTCAGTCTGTTTATCCTCATATATCCGTCAGCTTATCTGCCGTCTGTCTGTTTGTGAACTAGGCTATATTTTATATTATATTTCAGCAACTATATGTATAAACAGTAGGCAACACCTGAAGTGGATCAAAAGTTGTCAAGAGTGAGGGCTGATCAATAGATTCTGGACAACTTTGAAAAAAGATTTTGATCCACTTCAAATATTAATTATTGTGGGCTAGTTATATGTGTTCAGATATCTATCTATCTATCTATCTATCTATCTATCTATCTATCTATCTATCTATCTATCTATCTATCTATCTATCTACCCACCCATTCATCCGTCCATCTATCTGTCCATCCTTCTATCCATCCCTCCCTCCATCCATCCATCCATCCATCCATCCATCTATCTATCCATCCATCCATCCATCCATCCATCCATCCATCCATCCATCCATCCATCCATCCATCTATCTATCTATCTATCCATCCATCCATCCGTCCATCTATCCGTCCATCAATCCATCTATCCGTCCATTCATCTATCCATCCATCTATCTGTCCATCCATCCATCCATCCATCCATCCATCCATCCATCCAACCATGCTTCTATCTATCTATCTATCTATCTATCTATCTATCTATCTATCTATCTATCTATCTATCTATCTATCTATCTATCTATCTATCTATCCTTCTATTCATCCATCCATCTATTCGTCTATCCATCTGTCTGTCTGTCTGTCCGTCCGTCCGTCCGTCCGTCCGTCCGTCCGTCCGTCCGTCCGTCCATCCATCCATCCATCCATCCCTCATCCATCCATCCCTCCATCTATTCGTCCATTCATCCATCTATCTATCTATCTATCTATCTATCTATCTATCTATCTATCTGTCTATCTGTCTATCTGTCTGTCTGTCTGTCTGTCTGTCTGTCTGTCTGTCTGTCTGTCTGTCTACCTACCTACCTACCTACCCACCCATATATCCATCCATCCATCTGTCCATCCATCCGTCCATTCATCCATCCATCCATCCATCCATGCTTCTATCTATCTATCTATCTATCTATCTATCTATCTATCTATCTATCTATCTATCTATCTATCTATCTATCTATCTATCTATCTATCCGTCCATCCATCCATCCATCCATCCATCCATCTATCCACAGTCTCTATCTTCAGTATATTTCCGTCATTAATCCTCTGTTTTCTTCTGTCCTGTCAGCATTACGGAGATCGGCTCTCATGCGTTCTCGTCTCTGCTAATGCTGCGTTCGCTAATCCTGAACAACAACGCTCTAGTCCTGATCCATCCCGAAGCGTTCTCCATCCCCGGGAGTCCTCTAGAAGAGCTCAGTCTGCGCTCGTCTCTGTATAACCACACATCTCTGACGGACCTCATAACCGCGCTGCGATGGGGGGAATTATTCAACCTGCAGCGGCTCGACCTGTCGGGCAACCGGCTCGTCCTGCTGCCACCGGGGATGTTCACTCCGCTGCCAAGACTACAGTATCTACACCTGAACAACAACTCTCTGGTGGCCGTCTACAACTGCACATTCACTGGTGTCGAAAATCTTCTGGAGCTGGATTTGAGTAGGAATGCATTCAAAATGATCAGCGGCGAAGGTCTGCATGAGTTGGAGCGACTCAGTTTGGTGCGACTAATGTTGAGTCAGAACCCTTACACATGCACATGTGAAATGCTTGAGTTTGTGCATTGGTTGAACAGCTCGAAGGTTAAGATTGGCGATGTGGAGAGGTTGAGCTGTGAATCCCCTGCTGAAATGCGTAATGTGTCTTTACGGGTTATTAATGCGCAGGTGTTGGGGTGTTACGGTGAAGCGCAGAAAGTCAATACCGATTTGTCGCTGCATACGTCTTATGTGTTTCTGGGATTAGTGCTGGGATTCGTGGGCATGGTGTTTCTGTTGGTGGTTTACCTCAACCGAAAGGGCATTAAGAAGTGGATCACGGATATACATGAAGCCTGTCGAGATGTGCTGGAGGGGTATCATTATCGATACGAACTTGACTCTGATCCACGACTGGGACATGTTTCAAACAGAGACCCGCGTAAGGCGCGTGCTCCTACTGACGGTGGTATTTCACAGATTCCATCTGATGTGACTCTGTAAAAGGACTGTAAACAACTGCATAGTGGAAATACTTCAATGTATATTATGACCTGATATTTCCAGCACATGCTTATTGGAAATATGTGCCACAAACTATTTTTTTTTTTTTTAAATACATCACATGTGATTTGTTTCACATTTTAGATGACAAATCCACTAGAGAGCGCTGTCTGCATTTTTGCGAATCTGAAATACGTCACTAATAGTGAATTTTGTTGCACGTTTTAGACAACAGATCCACTAGAGGGCGCTGTCTACATGTTTGCAAATCTGAAATGCTTTACTTAGGGTACATTTTGTTGTACATTTCAAATAACAAATCCACTAGAGGGCGCTGTCTGCATTTTTTGCGAATCTGAAATACGTCACTAATAGTGCATTTTGTTGCACGTTTTAGACAACAGATCCACTAGAGGGCGCTGTCTACATGTTTGCAAATCTGAAATGCTTTACTTAGGGTACATTTTGTTGTACATTTCAAATAACATATCCACTAGAGGGCGCTGTCTACATTTGTGGGAATCTCAAATACGATATTTGGAGTGCGTTTCATAGTTTGTGTATTAGTTGAACAGTTCGAAGGTTACGATTGCTGATGTGGAGAGGTTGAGCTGTTCTGTTTGTGGTTTACCTCAACCGAAAGGGTATTAAGAAGTGGATCACGGATATACATGAAGCCTGTCGAGATGTGCTGGAGGGGTATCATTATCGATACGAACTTGACTCTGATCCACGACTGGGTCATGTTTCAAACAGAGACTGATGTATGGCGCGTGCTCCTACTGATGGTCGTATTTCACAGATTCAAACTGATGTGACTCTGTAAATGGACTGTAAACAAATGCATAGTGAACATATTTCAATGTATATTATGACCTGATGTTCCTGCACATGCTTATTGGAAATATGTGCCACAGACTATTTTTTCAAATGTAAAATACGTTACTTCGAATACGGTTTATTGCATGTTTTAGATGACAACTCCACTACAGGGCGCTGTCTACTTTTTGGTGAATCAGAAGTACATACTTAGGGTGCTTTTTGTTGTACATTTCAGATGACCAATCCACTAGAGGGTGTTACATTTTTGTAAATATCTGGAATATGTTATTTAGGGTGTGCTTTGTTGTACGTTTCAGATGACAAATCCACTAGAGGGCGCTGTCTACATTTTTGTGACTCTGAAATACATCATTAAGGGTACTTTTTTTTGGCATTTCAGATGACAAATCTACTAGAGGGCGCTATCTGCATTTTTGCAAATCTAATATACATTACTTAAGGTGTGCTTTTTTGTACGTTTCAGATGACTAATCCGCTAGAGGGTGCTGTCAACATTATTAGCAAATCTAAAATACGTTACTTACGGTACGTTTTGTTGTATGTTGAGCAATCTACTAGAGGGCGCTGTTTACATTTTTAGGAAACTGAAATATATTACTTAGTGTGTATTTTTTGTAAGTTTCAGATGACAAATTCACTAGAGGGCGCAGTGTACTTTTATGTTGCGAAAATACATTACTGATTTTGTTGTACGTTTCAAATAACAATCCACTAGAGGGCGCTGTCTACATTTTTGCGAATCTGATATCCGTCACTTAGGGTACGTTTTGTTGTACATTTCAAACAACAAATCCACTAGAGGGCACTGTCTACATATTTGCCAATCAGAAATATTTGAGTTTGTAATGAATCGTGTGTGCTTGATGATTAGCTAAATAGAACAAACTGAGGATAATCATGAGATTAGTTCATGCTTGATGTTGGCAAACGCATTCTACATTTAACTGGACTTCACAGTTTTGGTCTGTTTACCCAGAGAAGGAGGACGGTAAATTGTAGACATAGAAGATGCTTGCATTTGTCGATGTGTAGGATTATACTACTATTAAAAGACATGGAATGAATGGCACAAACCCTGCAGATATTAAAGGCAAAGGGGATTTTAAAGGTGTTTTTTTGTTTTGTACATTCGAATGACTTCATGTAGCTTTTTCTGAATAAATAATAACGTCTATCATTTGTTTTCCCCATAATTTCCAGACGACTGTCACTTAAATATCAATGAGTGTAACAGTAGTCGGCTCAATGTATGACTTATCGCACAACACATGGACATGAGCTCAATCATTTTTGGTGATGGAATTTATATCGGCCATACGTAAACACCAATTCTAGCAACACTTCAGCTCATTGTGCAACATCTCTCTCTCTATTGGAGCCATCAGTGTCAGTATGGCTATTAACACTGTAGTATTTACTATAAATTACTGTAGTATATTCTCATGTGTGTGTCTGACAGCTGACAACAGATCTGGTAGCAGCCTCTGTTATTCTTTACCTTTGTTATAATTTAGTATTATTTATTTAGGATATGCATTTCACATTCTGACTCCAAAGCCTCATTATTAAACTGTCAAGATGACTATAACTAAATTAAATAGTCTTAAGAATAAAGTATGATGTGTTCTTTGGAAGAGGGTACTTGCATTGTGATGATATTATATTGTCATTCTGGCATTATATGTGGCATAAAATGACAATAATATTGTTTATTGCAATATATTATGGTGCAATATATCATACGACATAAAATAGATATCTTGACAGGCCTAAACAATAGTTTGTTAGAATGTTAAGAATAAAATCATTTTCAGACATTTTAAAAGACTATTTATGCATTAGAGTTCCCCCCAAAATACTTAATAATTGTCTCTCTAATTGTAATTATTTTGTCATGTAAAAAGTTTTTTCATAATTAAAAAAAACAGAAAGGAATAATACGTCACTTAGGGTACGTTTTGTTGTACGTTTCAAATAGCAAATCCACTAGAGGGCACTGTCTACATTTTTGCAAATACATTACTTGGGGTGTGTATATGTGTGTTTTTGTAGGTTTCAGAGGACAAAAATCCACTAGAGAGCGCTGTGTACAGTTTTGTGAATCGGAAATACATTACTAACAGTGCATTTTGTTGTACGTTTCCGATGACAAATCCACTAGAGGGCACTGTCAATTTTTTTGTGCATCTGAAATACGTTACTTAGGGTGTGTTTTGTTGTACGTTTCTGATGGCAAATCCACTAGAGGGCACTGTCAATTTTTTGAGCATCTGAAATACGCTACTTAGGGTGTGTTTTGTTGTATGTTACCGATGACCAGGGCCAGACAGAATCTGCGGACATTTTTTGCTATTTCTGCAAAGAATTTTGGAAAAATCTGCAGATTTTTGCGGATTTATTTTGGGAGTATCATAACTAAAACCTTAATTAGTGAAATAAAAAGTAATACCATTTTAACTTTTATTTAATGTTTAAATTGCAAATCTTATTAGGTCCAGTTTATTTGGTAAACAAAGCAAGTCTCATATAATATCTCTACTAAAAGACAGAAAATAATACTGTACAAACTGCATTATACATAAATCAGATAAACATTTTCATATTAGTCAATAATATTACTGTAATTAATTAAAAAATTAAATAAATATAGATTTACACACATTTACTCAAGTAAATAAACAAAATTAATGATGGGCTAAAAATCTGCGGAATTCTGCAGAAAATCTGTGGAAAATCTGCGGAATTCTGTGCGCGCAGATTTCGTGTGGGCCGACCGTTGACAAATCCACTAGAGAGCGCTGTCAATTCTTTTTTTTTTTGTGCATCTGAAATACGTTACTTAGGATGCGTTTTGTTGTATGTTACCTATGACAAATCCACTAGAGGATGCTGTCAATTTTTTTGTGCATCTGAAATGCGTTACTTAGAGTGTGTTTTGTTGTACGTTTCCGATGACAAATCCACTAGAGGGCGCTGTTGATTTTTTTGTGCATCTGAAATACGTTACTTAGAGTGTGTTTTGCTCTACGTTACCGATGACAAATCCACTAGAGAGCACTGTCAATTATTATTTTTTTTTGTGCATCTGAAATACGTTACTTAGGATGCGTTTTGTTGTATGTTACCGATGACAAATCCACTAGAGAGCGCTGTCAATTATTATTTTTTTTTGTGCATCTGAAATACGTTACTTAGGATGCGTTTTGTTGTATGTTACCGATGACAAATCCACTAGAGGGCGCTGTCAATTTTTTTGTGTATCTGAAATACGTTACTTAGAGTGAGTTTTGCTGTGTTACCGATGACAAATCCACTAGAGGGCGCTGTCAATTTTTTTGCCAATCTGAAATGCGTTACTAATAGTGCATTTTGTTCCACATTTCAAAATACACATTAGATAGATAGCCAGTTCTCTGCGTCTAAGATAGTAATAATTTATAAGTATATTTACTAATCTTTAAGTGCAGATTCAGAATAAGTATGACGTTTCATAAATGTCAATAATCATGAAAATTAAATCTGTTACAATGAATGAACTTATTTGGATTATTTCAGATGCAGAAATGGTTCATTCATTCTTTCATTTTCCTTCAGTTTAGTGTCTTTATACATCAGGGGTCGCCACAGCGGAATGAACCGCCAACTATTTCAGCATATGTTTTACACAGCGGATGCCCTTCCAACTGCAACCCAGTACTGGGAAACACCCATACGCACTCTTTCACACTCATACACTATGGCCAATTTAATTGATCAATTCCCCTATAACGTTTGGACTGTGGGGGAAACCGGAGCACCCGGTGGAAACCCACGCCAACACAGGGAAAACATGCAAACTCCACACAGAAACACCAACTGACCTAGCTGAGACTCAAACCAGTGACCTTCTTGCTGTGAGGCCACAGTGCTGCCTCTGTCTGACAAACTTCACACCTTTCATGTCATCCCACACTGTGTATCTGCAGATCTGACGGCGCACTGAATGACTCCTCATGTGTATCTAACCCAATCCGACTGAATCACAGGCTCCATTATAGATCATGAACTATTCTGCAGATTGAAACACTCCCCCATCACACACACACACACACACACAGCGCAGTGTACTATTTGTATTATTGGTATTCGCATCTGCAGATTGTGTCCTCAATATTTCGCTATGGTTGAGGAAAGGAGGGAAATGAAGGGGGAAAATGGGGCACAATGAAGGATCTGGAGTGTGTGTGTGCGTGTGTTCGTGTGTGTGTGTGTGCTGGGAATTAATGACTGCAATTGATCAACATCAGACAGCACATATTCATCTGTGTCGCTGCTTTTGGCAAAGCAGTATATTACAGCATGTTGGAAATAATACATCTGTGTGTGTGTGTGTGCGTGTGTGTGTGCGTGTATGTGTGAATGAGAAAGAGTGAGTGTGCATATGAGTATGCCTGTGAGTGTTGTTTGTATGTGTTTGTGTGAGTATGTTTTTGTTGTGTGTTAGTGTATGTTTGTGTGAATGTAACTGTGTGTATGATTATGAGTGTGTGTGCATGACTGTTTGTGTGTATGTTTGTGTGTGTGAGTGTGTTTGTGTGTGTGAGTGAGAGTGTGCGTATGAGTGTGTCTGTGAGTGTTGTATGTATGTGTGTGTGCGTGTATGTGTGTGTGTGTATGTGCATGTGCAAATAAATGGAAAAAGAACATCAAATAATAACAAAATGTACAAACTTAGTACACACGCACACACAACAACAACAACAACGTCACAACAATTAAAATAAATAAATATTTAAATAAAAGAGGGCGTCACAGTGGCTCAGTGGTCAGCACTGTGGCCTCACAGCTAGAAGGTCGCTGGTTTGAGTCCCGGCTGGGTCAGTTGGTGTTTTTGTGTGGAGTTTGCATGTTCTCCCAGTGTTGGCGTGGATTTCCTCCGGGTGCTCCTGTTTCCCCCACAGTCCAAACACATGTGCTATAGGAGAACTGATCGACTACACTGGCCGTAGTGAATGAGTGAGTGTGTGAAATGAATGTGTGCATGCCATGGGTGTTTATAATAATAACCAACAATTAATTAACCAAATTAAATTCACACAATGCTTCATATGTAAATTTAATTTTTAACGTTTTTTTAGCTTTTCTGTTTTTGTTTATTCATCTATTGTTCACAGTTTTGCTCCACTTTAGCCCATTTCCTCACACTATTATGATATCTGCCGAATAAAAGTTTAGCAGTATAATGAAATAAGTTGCCTTTGAATCAATTCCAGCTTTCCTTTTTGGGATGTTTTTTTTTTTTTTTTTTTGGAAAAAGAAACAACAACAGATAACAAAAAAAAAAAAAAACAAACAAACAAAAAACAGGAGGGGTAAATACATTACACGTTAAAGAAAAAGATTATATAATTTACAAATTTCAGTTGTTTTTAAAACCTTTTTTTGTAAAAGAGTTAGACACTGTTTCAAAGTAATACTGCATTTGAGTAAGCAAAATATAAAAAAAGGGTTTTGGTTTGAAAATGTACATTTATGGATATAAAATTTTGTTAATAAGACAAGAAGATTAAGAAAATATGTTTTCTTTTTATGTAAAGCCCCCGTTCCATAACCAACAAAACCAAACAAAACATTCTCCCACAGCAAGGAAAATTCCTCATCAACATTCTCAATTATAAAAAGTGAGAAGTCTTTCCAAAGCAACATAGAGTAATTGCATTGTCAAAATAAGTGAACCAGGGACAAAATGAACAATTAATATTAATATCTTTTTTATATCTTACTAAAAGAGTATTGACTGGGGATGTACAGCGAATAATTCCGAATGAAACTTCTTTTATCTTATTTGTAATTAAGTAGTTATTTGTGAAGAGCCATATTTTCTCCAATCAATATCCGAAACAAAAGAATTCCAATAAAAAGTAACATTTGGAACGTTTTTTTTTTTGGGATGTTTAGGCAACATCCGTTTGAGCGCGTGACGTCACTGCTTACCTGCACAAGTGGGCGTTGGATTTACCTGTAGCCGCAGGTAAAATACGGCACGGCGGGGCGAAGGAGAGAATTTACCGAGCGAAGCTTTAGTATGAGCCGAATGTGAACTCGTGTGTTTGCGCCACGACACCGAAACACCCGCGTTCAGCTACCGAGAGTACACGGAGATCGATGAAGTGCGCGTTATAAGGCGTCATAAGGAGATTATTGAGCTTTCGGGCTACTTCCGCCATCCACAACACCTGAAGTAGCGCTCAAAACAACCGAGGATTTGACCCGAGCCTATGCGGTGAGTGACATCTGATTTACCACACAAACTACACGCACACACTGGGCTATTCCAGTGTTACTGTGGGTTAAACGTCGAGAAAGACCGATCGACGGGTTCATTTTGGGAATTAAACATATAAAACAAACTTTACCCAGATTTTGGGTATGTATTAAACCAGATTTGGGTTAAATAACCCAGCTTTTTTGAGTGAAGAGACTTGGTGCAGTTAGGCGTTTGTAAATAGCTTTTAATGATGATTACAGTCACTCACATTTGTGTTAACTATTATTTACAAATATTAAATAGTGAATTAATAATGATTTATTTATTTATTTTGTTACAGACCCAGCGCTTACTTTCAGAATTAAACCTGTAAAATCAAGTTAAGCTATAATTTGGGTCTGTATGTTACATAATTTGTGTTGAAATAACCCAGCCTTTTCCCCTGAAGAGACCTAATGTAGTTAAATGTATAAGATTAAATAATGCGGTTTTTGTTTTGTTACAGGCGTAGCATATATTAAACCAGTACACACTAAGACCTCTAGTTTTAATATAATGCATCATGATTATTCCCAACAATGGGTAACATTTTAACCCAACATTGGATCCAATTTGGTCAAAATGAACTACTCGGTTAATTTTGGCATTAAACTTATAAGACCAACTTTAGGCGATAGTTTGGGTCAATATTATACTGATTTGGGTTGAAATGACCCAGGTTTTTTTGACTAAAGAGATCCTGGTGCAATTTGACATTTGCAGGGGGTGTACATCGGGTATGAATATATATATATATATATATATATATATATATATATATATATATATATATTATTTAATTACAGTTATAACGTACAATCCAGCACACTGAGTCCTCTAAAGCTAAAGTAAATAATTTTAATATAATGCATCATGATTATGCTAAACATTGGATTAAATGTGGACAAAATGATCCACTGGGTACATTTTTGGAATTAAACTTATGACACCAACTTGGTTAGGGTTTGTATTTTACATAATTTGCGTTGAAATAACCCTATAATAAATAATAATACAAATTTTTTCTGCCAACTGAATCAATTACACAATCAATCAACACTAATTTACTGGTGTTATTTTAATCTAACTGTGGGTTAAATGTGGAGAAAGACTGACAGACGGGTTCATTATTGGAATTAAACTTGTAAAACCATCTTTAACCCATAGTTTGGGTCTGTATTTAACATGATTTGTGTTGAAATAACCCAGCTTTTTATAGCTTAGTGTTTCCCGTGGGTGTATATTGCGTTTAAAAGGATCACAAACATGCACATTTCTGTTAAACATTTTTTATAAACATTAAATGGTCATAAATAGTGAATTTCGTAGTTTGACCCAATTATTATACCCAACATTGGGTCAAAAATTGACTAAATGAACCACTTAAATATTTGGAATTAAATTAATTAAACCATCTTCAACCCACAGTTTGGGTCTGTATTTGACATGATTTGGGTTGAAATAACCCAGCTTTTTGTAGTTTAGTCTTTGCAATGGGTGTACATGGGTGTTATGAATCACAAATATGCACATTTCTGTTAAATATTATTTATAAATATTACATGATCGATAAATAGAACTTTATAGTTGGACCCAATGATTGTACCCAATATTATGTCAAATATGGACAAAATGAACTGCTGGGTTAATCTTTGGAATTAAATTAATAAGACAAACTTTAACCCATAGTTTGGGTCTGTATTTGACATCATTTGGCTTGATGTAACCCAGTAGTTTTTTGACTGAAGTGTCCCTGGGGCAGTTTATCATTTGTGATGAGTGTAAATGGGTTAATAAGTGTTGTTATTTCTGTGAAATATTGATTATTTACATTAAGTAGTTGACAAACAGTGATCTTTGTTGTGTTTATTATGTGCAAAACATACAAACCAGCACACTTTGAGTCCTCTAAGACTAAAGGAAAGCATTTTAACATAATGCATTGTGATTATACTAAACATTAGGTCAAATTTATACCAGCGTTAAAACAAATATGGACAAAATGAATCGTTGGGTTAATTTTTGGAATAAGACTTATAAGACCAACTTTACTCTAAAGTTTGGATCCGAATTTGACATAATTTAGGTTGAAATAACCCAACAATAATAATTTGTCTGCCATCTGAATTAATCAGACAAATGACACTATTATTTTAAATATTCTGGGTCATTTCAATCTAACTGTGGGTTAAACGTGGAGAAAGCCCAACTGACGGATTCATTTTTTTAAATTAAACTTGTAAGACCAACATTAACCCATAGTCTGGGTCTAAATTTGACATAATTTGGGTTGAAATATTCCATCTGAAGAGACCCTGGTGCATGTTGCTGTCCATTGGTTTTCTATATCTGTGAAATATTGTTTATAAGTATTAAATAGTTGATAAATATTAAAATAAGCGTACTAAGAACGCTTCGAGTCCTCTGAAACTAAATTAAAGCATACTAAAAGAATGCATTATGATTAAACACTCTAAAGAAGGATAGGTTGTGTTAACCCAATGTGTTAACCCAACCTGGGTCAAAAATTGATATGGGTCAAATATATTTGTGTTTGTTTAAGGCCCGACATACAGGTCAGCACACTTAGTAGTTGATGATCAGTGATTTTTGTTTTGTTTATTATATGCAAACCAGCACACTTTGAGTCATCTAAGGCAGTGTTTCTCAACCACATTCCTGGAGAACCACCAGCTCTGCACATTTTCTATGTCTCCTTAAGCAAACCTGATTCAGATCATCAGCTCATTAGCCGGGACTGAATGACCTGAAATGGACATAATAGACAAAGGAGACATCCAAAACATGCAGTGTTGGTGGTCCTCCAGGAATGTGGTTGAGAAACACTGATCTAAGACTAAAGTACAGCATTTTAAAAGAATGCATTATGATCGTACTCAAGATCAGGTCAAAAATGGACAAAGTCAATAAATATTTTTGTTTGTTAAAGGTATAGCGTACATAGCAAACGACCACACTTTGATGTTCTCCAAGACTAAAGTAAAAATGCTGGGTTGTTTTAACCCAACACTGGGTCAAATTGGTACCGATGTGTTCATTTTTTAAACAAAGTCTATAAAACCAGCTTTAACCCAAAATTTGGGTCAGTATTTTACTTAGTTTGTGTTCAAATAATCCAGCATTTTGTGTGTCAAATCATTGCTAAAGCAAATACTGAGTTAATGTTTGGAATTAAATTTATAGGGCCGACTTTAACCCATAGTTTAGGTTTTGTTTGTCCATGTTTTACTATTGCAGTTTGGGTTGAAATAACCCAGCATTATTTTAGAGAGAGAGAAGAGAGGCCTGGTGCATGCCTCTAGCTTTTTTTAAGGATTACAGACATGCGTAGTTCTGTTAGACATCGTTTATGAATATGAAACAGTCAATAATTTTTACAATAATCTTTCAAGCTGAGCATGAACAAACCACTAGGGTAATTACATTTTAAATGGCACTTTTCCCCAGCTGTAGGTTTTATCCATATTTGGCCCAGTTTGGGTCAAAATAATCCAACATTTATTTAGAGATGTGCTACAAACCCACTGCATCACTTTAGTTTGATGTGCATATTTGATTCATGATTGTGCGTTTTATTTATTTTGTAGTTTGTAACCGGCAGAACAAACGGCAGGCTTTGAGTCCTCTACAACTACAGTAAAGCATTTAAAATAATGCGTTGGGATTATACATTCTCAAAAGAGCTGGCTTGTGTTAACCAAATGTTAAGTCAAATATGGAGAAAACTAACAGCTGAGTTATTATATTTTCTTTTTAATATGAAGGTATAAAGGGCCAAAGTTGACTCAATGGTGTGTTTGTAAATATTTCACCCAATTTGGATTAATATTACCCAGCTCTTTATTTTATTTTATTAATTTTTGAGACGTTTGCAATGGATGTTTTATTTAAAGGATTACAGCCATACGCAATTCTGTTAAATGTTGTTTATAAATATGAAATAGTCCATATTTCACCCAATGTTGCATTAACACAACCCCTATTAGAGCAATGCATTTATTTAAAATGCTTTACTTGAGTCTTAGATGACTCAAAAACTGCTTGTTAACATGTAAACAGAACAAAAAAGCAAGCACGCTTTGGGTACTCTACAACTATGCCGATCCAGGTAGTTCAAGCATTGCAATGCATTTTGAAATAATGCATTATCCCAACACTTCTTAGAGTGTATAATCGTGTGTTAAAATATGGACAAAATGATTGTTGGGTTTATTTTTTATTTTTTAGTTATTGGACCAAAGTTGACTGTTTTATTTATAGGATTACAGCCATATTTTGTTAAATATTGTTTAGAAATAATATATATAAGCTGTAATCCTATAAATAAAACACTCATTGCAAACTTCTCAAATGCTTTCAAACAAATATATATATATATATATATATATATATATATATATATATATATATTAATTAAAGGCATTTAAATGTAATAACAAAAATTTACCCAGCAGTTTGTCCATATTTGACCCAATGTTGGATTAACACAACTCCTTTTTTTAGAGCAATGCGTCATATTAAAATGCTTTACTTTAGTTTTAGAGCACTCAAAGTCTGCTCGTTTGTATGTAAACTTAATGTTAAGTCAATAAATAAAGCATTTTATTTATCTACAACTAAAGCAAATCTATTTAAAATAACACATTTTGATAATAAAGGCAAATGCAAAATTTGAATTGAATTGAATTCCAAGAATTAACCCAGCGCTTTGTCCATATTTGACCCAAACCAGGCTTTTTTAGAGCTCTGCGTTATACTAAAATGCATTGTGTTGTGTTGCATTGCATTGTGTAATATTATACTAAAAGGTCTGCTGGATTGTATGCTGCGTTAATGTAAACTTTAATGTTAAGTCAATAAATATTGCATTTTATTTATTTATGCATTTATTTTTTGTTAGTGGCAGAATACACCAGCACACTTAGAGCTAAACTAAAGCATTTTAAAATAATGCA